CTAAGATTTTCGTTCATTTTTTTTGTTAGTAATGTGTTAAAAAGGCTTTGTAGGATGAGTTCTTCAGACAACTTCATTGCTTTTATAGCCTGAATATTTTTGTTAATTATGCATAAAAATTGCTTTACGCTGTTTACGGACTCACTAACCGAGGGAGCTTCAATTATGTTGTTCAAATAAATAGCCAATGTTGCTCTAGGGTTGGTAAACTTGCTATCTAACAGGGACCATGCTAAATCAAAATTGTTCTCTGTTGACGGCAAATTTTCTATTGTTGCTGCAGCATCGCCCTTTACTTTGGTTTTCAAGGCACACATTTTTTGTGTGTTCGAAATGTTTGCTGAGCCAATCAACTGCATAAAAAGTTCCTTGAACGTATTCCACTCTGTATAGCTTCCATAAAAACACGGTATTTCAATTTTTGGCAAGTCGAAGTTCATATTTTCCTTTTTTAATTCCGGATTCTTATCCAATTCGTAATATTGGTCTGTTAACCTCTCAAACGTTTCTTCTAACTCTCCTATACCCCATTCATTTGAATATTGATAATAAAGATCATCTGCACGGGTTTTAGCTGTTTTGATTTCACTTAAATCTTTTCCATCATATCTTTTTAAGGACATCTTAAAACATTTTAATGCATGTTCTATCTTTCTAACAGCCGTACTTTTTGTATTATCTGGGCCTACTAATGACTGCGATTCTAGCAAATCAGCATTCCTATTTATCTGTTTATTCATTTGCCCCAATAATGAGTAAGTAACTGTAAAAAGTTCACTTACCTTTTCTCCAAATTTTTCTTTAAAATATGGTGATTTCAATATTGTCGCTGAAGGATTTTGCAGTCCGATTTTATTTGCCTCGAACTGGATCCTCAGCTCTTCTACCTTGCGGTTCCACTGGTCCAGCTGCTGACCCGATCCATCCCACTTTGCCGCTGCATTGTAAATGGCCTCCAAAACTCTTCCAATGCCCTCTTGCTCTTTTATTATTTGGGCTTCGTTTGCCATATTGATTTTTAGTGCAGTACTTTTAAATTTCCGCACAATATTTAATAATTTTATATTGGTATAAATGATTTTATTATTATTTTTATATATATATTTGGTTGCTGTTGGTACGGGTGCTGGGTGTTTAAGTCCACTATTTACTTTTTAGGGACACACGGCAGCACAACACAACACAACACTTTTTAATTTTTTGGCTGAAATTCGCACGGGTGCTGGGCTTATAAGTCCTTCTTTTGATTTTTAAGGACAATATAAATACACACCGCACAACACAACACAACACTTTTTAATTTTCTTTGAGAGCTGGATGTTTTAGTCCACTATCTTAATTTTTAGGGACACAACGCAGCACAACACAACATAACACTTTTTAATTTTCTTTGAGAGCTGGATGTTTTAGTCCACTATTTTTATTTTTAGGGACACAACGCAGCACTTCTTACACTTGTGTCCTTTTTATTTTTTAAGGACAATATATTAACACAGCACAACACAACACTATTTAACTCGCGTGTACTTTTCGAGGGGTCACCAATGTATTGAGCGGAGCAGGATTGGTGGGAGGATAATAATACGCGACAAAGTTTTGTGGATGAATGAACAACGTCGATAGCTCGACTGCTTTATTTATATATAAATTCTTATCCTAGTTCTTATGCTATCGCCTACATACTATCATCGATTCCTTATCTTCTACCATGTGTGCGTACTTTATCAGGTAGCTCATGTTAGCCAGCCGCAGCATGCTCATCCAGCGCGGTGGCGAGCCTGAGCTAATGATTTGTGTACTTACACATCCTTATCTATTAAGCTGGCGCCTGCCAGCTACGAAAATGTTGTTGTTATGTTCGGCATCTAAGGCCGAACTCATTATTATCTGTATAAGAGAGCATGTCTGTTTATCGAGGTTTTATCTATAGCAATATGATAATGTACCATTCGTGGTCTAGACAGAGCAAATCTAGCTTATCAATTAATTTACATTTACTTAGGATCTCGTTAGAATTGAACACATATCGTAGTAATTACTTATTTTATATATGCTCCCGATTTAACATTTCGTGTCCACCGCTGATATAAACACGTCGTTATTCCTTGACTTTCACAAAACAACAGAACTTGCAAATGAGTGTCACTTGCAAGCACTGCAAACAAGAAATGAAAACACGTGTAGACATTGACGCAATATATTGCACGAAATAGCCATGCAAAAGTTTGCATGCAAAACAAAAATTGATTGCAGCAAGAAATTTTCTTGCAATATTTGCATAGGTGTAAACATTGGTGCAAACTTTTGCTGCAAATTATTTTTAACTTGCTGCAAATTGTTTGCATCGTGTGTACCTAGCTTTAGGCAAGTCTTGCGCCTTATCGTACGGAACCTCGGAGACCACTCAGACTATGCCAAAAACAAAACTTACACATTACATATCACATATCATAAGCATGTATGTACAAGTACATACATATATACGAGTGTGATTGTTTGTGTGCAGGAGCGTGTATATACAACAGTTTAGACTAGAAAACAAATCAAATGATGGACAGATTAGATAAGATTACAAATCTTATATACGGAGCCTTAGAAAATTATTTTCATGGCAGGTTTTTTACACGCCACTACTTTTTCTAATTTTAACAATGACGACGACTCGATTAAATCAAACCTTAAGTGATGTTTGTGATTTTTTGCACCGCTTACCCGATGCTTGATGGGTAAATTTACATTTCTTTTGAGCCAGTAGAAACCTTTTTAAAACACAGATAAATTCCATTACAACACCTTATTTTATGGAGCGACCATGGGCACGATAGGTGGAAAAGGCATACTGATAATAAAGTTGCACAGTACAGTTGAATATTTCCATATTTAATTTAATCTTCTACTATCACCATATTCGAATCTAATATAAGCATCGAACATTTAAATAAAAACATATTCATTTACTGTTTTAAAAATGTATATTATTCAAAACAAAGTGTTTATCTTTGTCATGCTAAATTTAATGTAGGACCATATTTAATTTTAATATGCGCCCACTTCGAATAACAAAGAGTTATATTTACTATATTCCATAGAAAATTGTAATATTATTCTCAACTTTAATTTGACGTTTTTTGTAGTCGATTTAAATATACACTGATAAAAAAGTTGCACAGTACAGTTGAATATTTCCATATTTAATTTAATCTTCTACTATCTACATATTCAAATCTAATATAAACATCGAACATTTAAATAAAAACATATTCATTTACTGATTTAAAAATGAATAATATTCAAAACAAAGTGTTAATCTTTGTCACGCTCAATTTAATGTTGGACAATATTTAATTTTAATATGCGCCCACTTCAAATAACAAAAAGTTATATTTACTATTATTATACTCTGTACATGAAATGTACAGAAGTATATTAGGTTTGCGGGAGCAGAAAAATGTAACAGGCAGAAGGAGGCGTGGCGGACCCCACAAAGTATATAAATATATTCTTGATCAGCATGACGAGACGAGTCGATCTAGCCCTGTCTGTCTGTCTGTCCGTCCGTATGAACACCTGGATCTCAGAGACTATAAGAGATAGAGACACCAAAATTTTGCACAAAGATGCCTTATGTGTGTACGCTATACGAGTTTGTTTTATTTTTTTGATTTCCCCCCCCACTTCCCCCCTATGGGGGTTTTCCCGATTTTCCATTCGTATAATCGCCTATATCTCGGAGACTATAAGACCTACGGACACCAAATTTTAGTCCCAGATGCCTTATGTGAATACGCAGAAATTGTATATTTTGGAATTTTCCTCCCTTCCCCCTCCCCACTGCAAATCGCGATTTTCTCTAACTCCCGTAATTCTTGGAATTTCGAACTAAAATTTTGCAAATACCCCCAGTTAGTTATTATGTGCCCAAGTTTATATGCCAAGTTTCACTAAGATAGACCGATTTAACAAGAAGTTGACTGCTAACATGTTTACACAGACACGAATAGATGCGCATAGGCATACATACACTCATACAGACGCAATTGTTATGTAAATGTGAAATTACGTGAGTCCAAATACCGAGAAAGGTAAAATCGATAAAAAATTTTTTTTTAATTTTCTTAATTTTTTTATTTTCTATAATTATTGTAAACATATGTACAGAGTATTTCAAAGTCGGGACACCCGACTTTAGCTTTTTTACTTGTTTATTTACTTATTTTTTGTAGTCGATTTAAATATACTAGAAATATATTAAACTAGAATTCTCAAGTCGGTTTTAGGCGATCAAAACCGAGTCAAGTAAGTAGTATATTCAATCAGCTTTTCTTCACTTTTTAATATTAATATTGATCAAAACTTACACAAAAGGCATAAAAACGTCAAGATAATTAATAAATTGGTAAGAATAAATAATCAAATTCTGTTTGAAAAATAAACATTTTATATATGATTGGACGACTTTATTCCATTTAGCACGATACAAAATAATATATAATCAATATCTATTTTACACGACTTTTTCTTGAACCAATCTACCGTGTAAAAAGAGAATTAGGTGTATATAAAATAAGCATTAGGGAAATGTCGTTGTTGAAAAGAGTTAAATACAGTAGAGTGGACAAAAAAGTAGGAGAAATATTTTATAATTATAAAAAATAAACCTTTGGAGTGAAGCAAACCCACGTCCACGTCATCATTTGTGACTTAATATCGTCACACTTTAAATTTAATATTTTAATATTCAAATTGAAGTGTGCACAATTTACATCTACTAACACTACACACGATGGTGCAAAATCGATGGTAAATATATTGAAATCTACGTGCAATTATTTCAATTTAAGTGATTTTTTTAGCAGTGTAGAAAAGCCATGTTGTTTATTAAGATCTCGTTACCAAATTTTCTCTACAATTGCAATCATATTTAAGTTTGTGTAGGCGCTGGAAGCTTACATTTCGCAATTATTGTTTACCATGTTGTTTTTTTTTTTTAATATTTTCAGTCGAACAACTGCGCCATGGCTGGATTGTGCTGCATGTGTTCGCAGCCGTCTATTTCTTTATACTGCTGGCCATCATATGCAAGGACTACTTTCTGCCCACTGTAGAATGTATTTGCGAGGATCTGCATCTGTCGAAGGATGTGGCGGCAGCCACTTTCATGGCCACGGCCACATCCATGCCCGAGTTCTTCACGAATACGATCAGTACGCTTATATTGCCTTCGGAAATGGGCTTGGGCACAATTATTGGCTCGCTGATGTTCAACACGCTGGGCGTGGCTGGTCTGGCGGCGCTGGCCATCGATAAGGTACAGCCACCCATCTACACTCAGAAAAATACATTTTCTATAAATCAGAAAGTCGCTCCAGAACAAAAGCTCTGCATTTTCGAACTATTATTAAATTAAAATGATTTTCTAATATTGAGAGATCCTGCAAAAATCATAAGTTAGGAAATAGATTTTTATTGTGTTTTGGGAGGAATCTTCCGTTAGATTTAGGAAAGCAAAAAATTCAAAAAATTAACACGGTGTTCCCAAGTTTTCCATCTGTGAGCAATGTGTGCTTGTTTTTTGACCAAAAGTTCATTTGATTGATTGAAAAAGATAAGTCGCAGATAAAAAATAATATTAAAATTCGCTTAGAAAAGAGAAACAGATAGGGTACATTTCCATTTGTTTGATTTCATGAAATATTTGTTACTTCAACATTAGAAAAGCAAACAGTTTGTTTTTTGGAGCGAATTGGCCCAAAAGTTGGGCCTTTCTCGTTTAGTTGTATCTTCGAAATACTGGAGCATTATCGTCATTTCTGAGTGTAATTTTGCTACTTAAGATAATTAGTTTATTTTCCGTTTTGATTTGTCGATTCTGCAGCCGGTTCAGCTGGACTGGTGGCCCATAGCGCGCGACTGCGTCATTTATGGGTTTAATACGATTATTCTGTTGGTGGTCGCCTGGGGCGGCAGCATTAGCTTCGTCGAGTCGTGCATCATGATGGGCTTTCTAGTTATTTACTATCTGATAACGTTTAACAACAACAAGTTCATGCCCGCCATTCGTGTGTTTATCGAGGACAAAATGAACTGCTGCTTCTCCACGCGTTACGGTAAGTCGGCCCCTCCATATTATCAGAAAGTTATCAATGTCTGATAATGGGAAAACCATCACTTGTAGATCTAACGGCCCCGCCCGAGAACAGCGCCAAGGCCAAGCTGCCGCTGAAGAAGGAGCCGCTGACGGGCAACGGCCTGTTTGTGGTAAACTTGCCGGAGAACACCTCGTCCATGTCCTCGACGACTAATCTGACGGACAAAACCTGTAAGAGCACTCACACATATATCCACAAAAATCGATCAAAAACACTAAAAATCCTCTAATCCCACAGGGCACGGCGAATATAATGATGAACAGCAGGAGCGGAACCGTCTCTGCGCCTACCCCTTTGATGAGTCCAACTTCATGAAGTTCTGGTGGATTTTTACGTTCCCCATTAGGTTGTTGCTGGCCATGATAATACCCAACCCTCTGAAAATTCGCAAACTGTATCCTGTATCGTTCATCATGTGCATCGTATGCATTGGCGGTAATGCCTACATGATTGTCTGGATGCTGACGGCCTTCGGAGTGGCTATACATGTGCCAACTATAGTTATGGGCTTGACTTTCCTAGCGGCCGGCTCAACCATGCCCGAGGCGGTCTCCAGCCTCATATCGTTGCGAAATGGTAAGCCGTTTGGCACAACAAAGTTTATTTTCGAGGCAAAGCTAATCTTTATTCGGTTTCAATAGGGGAGAACGGCATTGGCGTCTCAAATTCTCTGGGCGCCAACTCTCTGGCCATTCTGCTCTCCCTCGGCGTTCCCTGGTTCATCAAAAACTGCCTTAACTACAACACCGGGGAACCCCAACAGGTGGGCACCCAGGGCATCGAGTACAACATCTTCATATTGCTGGCATCCACCATTGCACTCTTCGTGGTGCTCAGCTTCAGTGGGTATCGGCTGACCAAGCGCGTGGGCGTGGCACTCTTCAGCGTCTACACTGTGTTCATAGTTCTGCAGATTCTGATCGAGATGAACGTCTTCTTCCCCAAGGATTGCAGCTAAAGGGAAACTGCCCGCTCACTACTATTGGCATGTCTCAAGCCCATCTGGCTGGTAAAGGGCTCGCCCAGGACCAAAGTTCTAAACTAGTAACAAACTGATTATAGGGCTTGCTTTTCATAAAATAAATTATTTTTTTTTGTTTTTTTTTTGTCTACCTTGTAAGCCCGCGTATTGTCTAAGACTGCCTACTTTAAGTGCAATTATGTAGCGAGCTCTCTCTCTGCTCAGAGACCTCTTCTACCTGCATATACGTACAGTCCTTCAAACTGGTACTTGTACCAAAATATCCGAAGCGCCGTTCTATGGAGTTTCAGTTCTAATACCAAAAATCTTAGAGCTATACGTACGATTATAAACACTTTCAGCAAATCGATCACAACAAAGAAAACACACATATCTATGCCAAATACTATATGTATTTAACTGTGTATGTACTATATATAGAAAATCGGTAGGATTGTCCCCCTATGTCTTAAGCATGTAAGTACCCTGCGATATTCACTGTCTTCGCCTGTCGATTGTTAAGCCTATGCCTTAGTCCCTTAGCTTAGATAGTGTTTTGAACATAAGCGTTTTTGATATTTCATATTGTGTAATGGTATTTAATACGCTTCAATTAATTGTTACCTGATATGTTTGTTATTAATTTATAAATAAATTATAAGACAATTATTACTGAAGCAGCAGCCGTTTATTTGATTATAGAAAATAATTATTCCACAATCTTTTTAAACGAGAAAATTATTATAATTCCATCAGGTAAGTGCAGATAATAGCATGGTTCGTATTTAAGTGGCTATTAATATGTAATCAAGGCGTTTTTTTTGTTATTGTTGCACAGATAGATAAAACGGTTCCTCATGTATAATTACATACCTTTCCCAAATCAATCTAGCCGTTGATTGACAAGTCTGAGCAATTATACAGGTCGAATATATACAAATATGGGAGAAATATTTAAATAAAACACAGTTGTAGATTTTTTTTAAAAGGGATTCGTATAACCCTTTGTTCTACAGAGATTTGTAGCGTTTCTTTTCATTTTAGTAAATCACGAAAGTAAGTTTATAAATGAGATCAAACACTTTGCAGTTTCAACATATACAACATATATGCGTAAAAAACGTTAGCAATTTGAGAAAAGTTGTGTTGGTTGTGGTGTTACATATTCTTTTTTTTATGATGTTTGCATGTATGTATATATAATGCTTGCGCACGGTAGTAAGTATCTTTGTATCTTAGAGATATTGCCTATAATAGTTTAATTGTGTTTTTGCTTTGCCTACGAATTGTTTGCAAGTGTCTTGGGGATAAGCGAATGCTTTCACTTTTACATGAATATATATTAACGTATATATGTATGTATGTATGTATATATATGAAAATTTTGTTTATTTCTTTACAATACATAAATAAATACTTAGAAATAGTTGCTTGTCTTTTGTTTTTTACAAGTAATTTTGGTATTTCCACAAATGCAAGAAATGAAGTTTTAAAAACTTTCGCCATATTTAATCGTTTATTAACGATTTTCACTTGTATTCTTGTTTTTTCCTTCATTAATACATGTGTACGTGTATGCATACATATGTGTATTTATGAACAAATCAGTCTGAGCAATTACAATTAAAAAACACGCTTGCAAATTATGTTCGTATTGTTGCCGAAGCAACCAAATGAAATTGGGCATAGACCGCATTTCAAAGTCTCTCTACGTGAAACTATGGATTTCTGTGCTGAAGAATAGAGCACACAAACAAAAGCTCATTCGAAATTCGTAGCTGTAAGCAACGTACACCTTAACGACCCAGTTGGCACAATGCGACGGACCACCGGACAACCCGCACAAACGACCGACCGACTTCAATGCGATATGGAGTGAAAACAGTTGGATGGTGAGGGTATGGCGGCTACGAATGTGTTGGGTGGTATGGGAAACCAAACACAATACGGTACAAAATTAGCAACGTCGACTTAAACCATGCAGTCATTGCAAACAAAGACTTGGTCAAAGTTTAAAGCCAGAGCCATAAGCCGTGATGAATTGTGGTCATCATTGGGTTATTAGGTGCAGCAATGATGTCCGTTTTTCACATAATAATTATGCATTGCTATGGTTCCGGTTTTGCTGTAACTGCTACTGTTGCTGCCACTGGTGCTATTGTACTGCGTGTTGTTTGCCATGCCCATCCCCATGCTCATGCCCATACCCATTCCGCCGATGCCGCTGTTGCCAGCATTACCGTTGAGGCCGGCAGTGCCATTGCCTTCGGTATTAGTGGCCGCATCAAACGCCTTGATGTGATTTTGTATGATTTTGCACGAAAATTGGCGATGTTGTCCTGTTTCCTGAAAAGGGGGAGCTTAGTTTCACTACACATTTATACAGGGCAATAATATATACCTTTGGCTGTATGGGAAAACAACACCACAGTATGAACGCTATGAAAGCCACCAGTGTGCCCACCAACAATATAAAGTCCTCAATTGTCTGCCACGAACAAAATCAATTGCATTAAAAATGTGCATGTGTGTGCATGCGTCTTTTGCCAAACGGCTATGATACTTACCGGTTCCTCGCCCAGCAGAACGTGATTAATCAAGTACACAAAATCATCGAATGGCGTCATGGTGAGGCTTTTCGCTGCGCTTACTTTTAATGCAGTTTGTTTAGTTTCGGATTGGCCTTGCCCTTCACGATGACGGCAAAGAGAACAAGAAGCGGCAATGCTGCTATTGCAACTCTTTGGTGCTCTGCCCGCTGCACGACACACACACACGTGCACACAGCGTGCGTATATTACACGCACAGCATGTTTCAACAAATATATGTTTTTGGTTTTTGCACACAAAAGGTTGCAACTTATCTGATAGTGGCTGTGGCAAATGCACTAGCACCTGCACAGCGTTTTCGAGACGACACACAACGACATTGCCCACAGATGAGTGGCCGCTCGATAGTGTTTTATATTGCTGGTATCGATAACATTGGTAGTAAAACAGCTGTTTAAGCTGCACGCAAACAATGTCATCCATAGCATAATTTCAAAGCAATAAACCGAAGTCGAAGCTTTGGATGTTAATGTGTTTTATATTTGTTTGAAAATGGTGAAATTGTCAAAAATACGTATGAAGGAGCGTATCAAAAACAGCGACGATGAAGCGCAGGCCAACAGCGATAATGCGAAATCGAACGCCACAGTAAATAAGGCACCCAAAAAAGAAGCCGGAAAGCAGAAGAGCAAGACGCGCAAACGAAAAGTGGCCCGGGACAGTTCAACATCTTCAGGCAGCAGTTCGGACAGCAGTAGTAGCAGCTCATCATCTAACTCATCCAGTGGGAAATCGGCCGCTTCACCTAAACATAAGAAACGAAGCAAGAAAACGTCAGCCACAAAACATGCTCTTCCCAGCGACGAACGCCCCAAACACCAACCCAATGATGAATATACAGACGAGGCAAAAGTGCAGGAGCAGCGTTCCAGATGGGACAGTCCCGAACGTGGAGGACAGCGACATAATTCGAGCAGAAATAATAAGTCACGCCGACGCAGTCGTTCGCGTAGTCACGAACGAGGGAGGGATCGAGATCGTGATAATCAAATACAACGAGAGCGCAACGCACGGGAGCGTAGCAGGGATCGGAGGCCACGATCACCGGCACAACGCCAGCGTGGACGTAGTAACGACCGCCGCGATCGCCGGCGCGATGATGAACGAAGACCTCAGCGGTAAGTCTCACCCTCTTTGTCTTACTGGCTATGTTTATGTTGTTAAATCTTTCAGACGCAGCCGGAGTCGCAGCCCCCGCGATCGTCAAAGAAACAGGGATAATAGGGATAGAGATTTCGCAAATCCACGTCGTAACCATCAGCGCCGTGATGACAGAAACAGAGGTGAGGAGCACTATGAGTGGGGCAAGCAGTCCGATGACAAAGCACCTCCGCCTGATGACGAAAAATCGATCGAGAAGGAGAAACCCAACTTCGGTCTAAGTGGCGCACTCACCGAAGATACGAACAAAGTAAATGGAGTCGTGATTAAATACTCAGAGCCGCTAGAAGCACGAAAACCGAAACGTCGCTGGCGTTTATATCCCTTTAAGGGTGAGACCGCGCTTCCCACTCTTCACATACATCGACAAAGCTGCTTTCTAGTCGGACGTGATCGTAAAGTTGTTGACCTAGCCGTCGATCATCCCAGCTGTTCAAAGCAGCATGCTGCTCTACAATATCGTTTGGTTCCTTTCGAGCGTGAGGATGGCACTCTGGGAAAACGTGTGCGCCTTTACATCATCGACTTGGAGTCCGCAAATGGCACGTTTCTAAACAATAAGAAAATTGACGGGCGCAAATATTACGAGCTAATGGAGAAGGATGTCATTAAGTTTGGTTTCAGTTCACGGGAATATGTTTTGCTGCACGAGAACAGTAAGGAGGACCAGGAGGATGACGATGTGCACATAAAGGAGGAGCCCGAAGATATACCAGCGGAACCCAATCCTTAAAAATATACATAACCCTCGAAGCAAACACACTCGTACAAGGCATCCGAAAAATTGTTAGTCTGGATTAATTGTGGTCAGATGAAAATAAGGTTTTCTTATATAGGTTTTTAGTTTCAAATTCTCTTCATATGTGTAGATAAAGCAGTTAAATTTTAAAACTCAATCGTATCAATTAGTATTACGACTATATCCACCAAATGTCAGCCACAAACATAAAAGTTTTTTTTTTCAATTAAGCCATTCTTTCTACAATTTTTGTAAATCTCTTTCAAATGTACAATTAAAAATATTGTGTGTAATATTGTCGATTAATTCATTTCTCAAATTAATTACAAAATCGAAATATATTCAATTTTTTGAGCTTGTATGGCGTCCGTGCTAACTTTAGTACAGCTCGTGTAGGGAAAACCGCCTACTAAAACATCTTCACACATAGTAAAACTACATTTATTCATATTTATTGAACACCGACGACACCACCGCAAGGTTAATACTATGTTATGGCCTAAGGTTGCGGTTACAATACAAGACAAAAGATATTGAAATAATAAGCCATGGCATTGACTGCAGGCGACCCTCAACCCCAACTCGATGTATTGGTTTATACAACACACTGCGCATTGTCAGAAAAGCCGACGGAATGCTGAGTACACAGAAATGACAATGCACGGCGATTTTCTGGCCCCCACAACGTATGAACAGTTAATTACAAAGCTCAAGTCGTCTGTGCAAGAACATGAAGCTAACAACACTCTATCTGGGAAGCTTTATTGGTTTGGGGCTGGGTCTTTGGGTTGGTACTGTTAGTTCTTCTCTGCTGCTAGTCGATGAGCAGCCGCCCACATCGTCAATAGGGACGCGGATGCGTCTTCTCCGCCAAGTGGTCCAGCCTTCCTGGCTTATGCAACCCGAGTTCCAGAACGCCCCACCCATCGAGGTGCGAGTAACGCCTCAGAACCTAAAGGAGACGACGGTCATTCGTGAAGAAATTCAAAAGGCAGTCAATGATGACACCTATGTGGTTGCTTCGAATCCGCTTCAGGTGAGTGAGAGGTGATGTGAGAGAGTTCTCTATTAGTGATGATCGAATCTTTGCAGTTGCAAAGTCTCCTGGCACAGTTTGGCAGTAATTTACCGTCAATGTCAATGCCCATGTCCTTGCCACCGCTGACCTTTCCACGACTGCCACTTGCACCGTTTACATTGCCACCCCTGCCCGGCTGGCAATGGCCCAATCTGTTGGGCCAGCAACAGCAGCCTCAAGAACACATGTTATTCGGATAATAAAGCTCCAACTGTTTAGTTTATTGATGAATTCCAAGAGTATAATAAATATGCATTTACAAACTTATTCAAATTTGATTCCGAACCTTTCTTAGCGATCGAAGAAGTGCGATAATTTTAAAAGTTTCCGTGCCTTAAGAAACTGTAAAAGTGAAAGAGAATGTTAAATTTCATATAATTTATATAACGCCGTATATATAACGGAGGTATGTATGGTAAAATATTTGACCCTATACCGCTAGACAGAAAATATTTGAACCAGTGCATGCGACTATACGACAACATCACCAGAACCGTATAATAAACATGTTTTAAAAAATATATGATTCAGATCATGTCAACAATTTTCCTTATTTGACCGCAGAGATCAGGTAAATTGAGCAATTGATTGAGGATCATTCGTCCCGAAACTCTCGTATACTTACTATTTCTTAGCTTGTTATGTAGGTCCCTTTTTATACCTTTTTTATAAACTCAAACTCTTAGTTGAGGAAGAAAATAAGAACAGTGGTACTTTAAAAGCTGTTGATAAAATATTGATCTCTTTAAATGTGGAACTATATTGTACTTGTTAATTAAGAGCGACGTTGTCATTCCTGTTAAAATTGAGTTATACAAAGGATAGTTCTTGCACCATAATCATGAAGGCATAAAGTTTAAAAGACTGCAAAAGACTTAGACAAACGCATTTTCTAAGCCTGTTAATATCCTGAAAGGCTACTCAAAATAGCAATTGAAAGTCCAACAAATTGGCATCATCCTCATATAATAAAATCGCGAGGTTTTATTTGACTGAATAGATAGATGATTTGTTACCCTTATTTCCACATTAAAAAACATTAAAGTCATGGAATAGGAACTAAATACTAGCATTGGTTTTGGGAGTTTATTACAAAATTACTTAATATACTATGTTAGCTATAATAATAAAGATCAAAAATTGTAGTTCTTTTTGTTTTGTTTTTATCATGGTTTAATGTATTTTTGTATATTAGTTACGTCTCTGTACAAAATTACCTTAACTAGTACACATGTGTATGTATGTAGCTAACAATAATTAGGTATGTATGTATGTATAGCTCTAAAGGTACATAAACAAAAAACGCTCTAAAATATATTATACATATTGTTGTATAAGCATACATTTTTTTGTATTCCTCCGATCCAAATACTACAACATACTACCATAGAGGCATAGCGCGGCCGGTGCAAAACTAAATCTGACTACATACATACATACTATATATGTATGTATATGTATATATAGTATATATGCATGTAGGATTGTGGGTGTAGATAGCATTGCAGCATAGCGTGCGCATGTAAATATGTACATACAAAGTACATACATATAAATGCATGTATGTACATATGTGCGTCAAAATTGCCTCAATATAAATGCATGTATGTATGTACGTATGCATATATGTGTGTGTGTATGGCTTATGGCTGTTTACTCACATACATATATTATCAATATATTAACTACAGAAATGTATGTATGTAAATGTATAATTTAGTATAAGTTTGTCTCTTCATCCTTTTTTATTTGGTATTTTAGTTCATTTTTGTTTTCTTATATTTATGTATGCATATCAAAGTTTGCAAAACGTTGCTGCTTTAAAAGTTTTGTTCCCTTTTGACAGACAATAATGACACAAATAATGCAATAATAAAAAAAAAAATGCAATAAAAACGACAGCAACAACAAGAGTGAAAACTAAACCACAACTGCGCGTAATTAATGAGAATTCACACTTGGCTGTAAAATACAAAATGCAATATTATACATACATACTTATGTATGTATGTATGTGTGCATGTATACAATATACACATAGTATATGCAAGTACATACATATATATACCGACTTAGTGGTATTTACTATATCTGTAGATTGCTACACACGCACATACAAATTCCTTTTCTTCAGTTGTTAGTCACAAATGCATAAATAGTTTAATTATGAAGGCATTAACAACTACTTAGTATATTTATATATCTATGTATATGTTGTTATATATAGGTCTATGTATATGTAATAAGGCGTGTTCAGATCAGCTTACAGCTTAAACAGTGACAGAGGAGAGGGGGCGAATGAGACAAGGCAACAATAATGGGATGCGGTTTGGGTCAAGCGCACTACCAAGACAATGTCATAATATTTGTGGTTTCGTTTTCAATTGGCATGTAGGTGTATGTGTCTCTGTGTGTGACTATGTATAGTACTATGTCATTGGTTTTGTTTTGCTTCGCGCTGCCTGATAAGCTGCAGCGGCTTTGACGTTAGTCTGACGCACGCCAAGGCTCGCCTCACACTTATCGGACTTGCCAAGGGGGTCAGGTCAGCGTGAGTTCGAGCTCGGTGATGTCTTTGGCACCACCATCCACAGTACCATCACTAACATAACACCACCACCACAACACACCATGGAAAAGGCAGTTGTAGCTGCAGTTTCAGTTACAGTTGCTTTGTGTGAAGGAAATTCTTGGAATGATTTGAGGCGGAATGCATTGAAATGGAACAGCTGCTCAGTACAATAAATGCATTTAAATCGCATTGATTTGCGCGTCCGAAAAGTAGGCATTGATTGACAATTGCCCAGCTCGATACGTTAGCTACACTCACACACTTACATATGTATATAATACAAGCATATGTACATACATATGTATGTATATGTAGGCATGTGCGTACGAATGTGTGAATCTTCCTATAAGACACATACATACAACTAATATGGCTCTCTATATGCTAACACAACGTCGGCTAGTCTTATGGTTGCAAAGTACACAACTTGGTACAACTTTGGGCTCCAAAATAAATTTCGATTTTAAGGTTTATCCAGTGTGTGGGATTCACATACGCAACAATAATATATACATATGTAATAATAACATACATTGCACAATTTTTAACAAATATCTATTATAACTACATGTACCGTGCGCTCATCAAATATACAAGAGCTATGTACTTATGGATGTATGTACATATGTGTATGTATACATATATTAAGTATGTTTCTACAAACGCATTAGAGTCCTGCATAAATCAACTCTATGGGAAATAAGTCTAAGCTACATTATGTGAAACCATACGCTATGCAAATATCATTTATTGGCTAGTATTAACGCGGATTTTGAAAAAAAAAAAAATATAAGGTACATGATAGGAAAAGTCCCATCAACCAACAATTTACACAACCAATTAAGCAAATGGACCTTGATTTTGAACTCCTTAACAAAATCAAGAATTACAACCTTTAACGGCCTAATATCGCGGATACCTGAGAATAATGAAACCTTCTAATGACCATAAGAGTCTTCATGCCAATACATGGCGCCCGGGAAAAGTGAAAAACTGTACCAAATAAAACTATGCAAAAGGAGTTTGAAAACAAAGGATACTAGGTCCGAGCAGTGATGCATCTCTTACGGGTAATGTTTATAAGACAAAAATACAGTGTGATTTTTATATTAAATACAAAAATATTTGCAGAGATTCCTACAGAGACAAAACAAATTCTCGTTTCTTAGCAGATATTTGTAAATTTAAAATATATGTAAATCTGAACGAGTTATGTAACTCTAAGACTGTAGAAATTTTCGAAAGCACACAAGCAGGGTAAACATATCAAAGGGATGAATGAACTGTAGTATATCAATAAAATAATTGTAAAATTCTTATTGATTTTAATTACAACAGAGGAAGGCAAATAACCAAAGTATATTCATATAAATAGATTTGTGGGGAGCAACTTTATGACAACATTGTAATACGAGTAGTAAAAAGTTGGTGCAAAATAAAACCGTTCGAATAAAGTTGTAATTTGTTGACGAAGTGTCTCTTTTCTCAACTTTTTACGGTTCACCACCGAGTCATGTGGCAAAGGAGTCACACACACATAACTGTGTTCAAATGAAAATTAATATTCGCTCAACGCCAGACTATGCAGAACTCTAATGGGTTAGCATGCGCGTACATACATACATATAGTACACACTCGTACATACATATGTATAACAAACAACAAAAATAATAAAAGCACGCCTGTCCTAGTGATTGTGAGCGTCTGCCCGGCTTACAACATCAACCAACGACAATTTTAAGGCTGACTAAGTTAGTTGAGTTGGTTGGTTGGTTGGTTGTTTTAAGAGTGGCTGGCTACTTTGTTGCTGTTTGTTGCAACGATTGTCGTTGTGGTTGTCCCTGTCCCTCCTCATAGTGACATCTCTGGCCCATGAGTGTGTTTGTGTGGGTTGGGTTGGGTTGGGTTGAGTGTTGGTGCGCATGTACTATGTATGTTGTATATATATTCTTATCTAACCTCATCGATGTCCTCGCCCTCAGACGAGCTGCGAATTGTGTTATATTGCGAGTTGCGACTGCGCAGCATGCGCAGGAAGCTGCCCACGGCGAATATAGTGCGACGATGTCGATGAAAAATACCCTGATATAAGGCCTCTCGTAATGTTTTGCGATCCTCGACGTCCACCGATGATGTCAACGATGTTTGATGCGGCAAACGGGCTGTCAATGATATGTTAATAAAAAGAAACAAGTGTACACGGCCATTACTAGGTAATTAGTAAAGAAGAACAAATACAATGTATAGCCACTAAGCTAAGCTAAAGCTGTGGTCAGACTTGAAAATTATTTGCATGCAAGCTCTCAAAAAATTTTCGTGATAAATATCGCTTTGTAAACATAGACACATTTGTCGGATTATATGAAAATACATCTCATTGCTTTTAATTTATCTTGACCACGAGACGGCTGACACAAAGACCAATTAGTTTTGAAAACTAATCGTATGTGAATATAGACAGAATAAAAAACAAGTAAAAAAGCTAAAGTCGGGTGTGCCGACTTTAAAATACTCTGTACATATGTTTACAATAATTATAGAAATTAAAAAAGTAAGAGAATTAAAAAAACAAGTAGAGAAATTAAAAAAAGTAAGAGAATTAAAAAAAACAAGTAGAGAAGCTAAAGTCGGGTATCCCGACTTTGAAATACTCTGTTCATATGTATATGTGTAGAATAATTATCCGTGTATGTGTGTATTTGTGTGTGCCTGTGTGTGTCTCGTGTGCCTGAGCAAAGCAGTAACAACAACAACAGCTGCGGGCACTACTTGGTCTTATGTACATATATGGCTAGAACTTCCTGTTAAATCGGCCTATCATGATAAAACTTGGCATTTGGACTTATAATAATTAAATGAAATACCCATTTTCTGCGTATTCATATAAGGCACCTGGGACTAACATTTGGTGTCCCTAGGTCTTATAGTCTCTGAGATCCAGGTGTTCATACGGACAGACGGAAAGACAGACAGACATACAGGGCTAAATACTCGTCTCGCCATGCTGATCAAGAATATATGTATATACTTTGTGGGGTCTGCCACGCCTCCTTCTGCCTGTTACATTTTCAGCTCTCGCAAACCTAATATACTCTTGTACATTTCATGCACAGAGTATAATTAACAACTAGGAGTTTACGTGCATCTGACTTTAGTTTCCAGCTAAATATTTCGCTTTTCCTCCCATCATTGCATAAGGAGTTCTTGCTCCTAACCATAAAATATCTGTCTTTTCACCGTTTATGTAAGCAGACAACTATATTTTAGTACAGGGTTATTATTTAATTGAATTAACGTTATGTTGATGGTATTTATATTGAATTCTTTTGAAATACCAAAAATTTTGTGCTCAAAGTAATTGCCTGTCTGGCAATAAATTAACCCATGAACGGGCATTTATGTAAAGCATTCGTATGTGATGCTTTGTTTTTAATAATTTGATTCTTTTCGCTTTTTTGCTTTGATTGTGATTCATTGATATGACCACAAACATCAAGCAAAGGAAATAAAAACAAATTGAACTACGATAACCTGGGAGCCAGCGACAATAAATTTGATATACCATACACACATACATATGTATGTATGCACACATGTTCTTGCTTCTCGATTCTATTCATACAAAATTCATCAACTCATAGTATTTACTTATGTATAAGGCACGTGTGGAAATGCGGCTGTGTGTGGTAGATCAGTTTTGTACAACAGCAAGTAGTGCACAAACAGGGAAACTAAGCTTTAACAAATTTTTCAGACTTTTACTATAGTTTGCTATTCAAAGTATTTTAAATAAATAATCTCAGCTTGATAAAGATATACAGGGTTCGCCATCTTTTATATCGGTATGTAAATATTCAATAACTTTATAACTTTCTCATTAGTGAACCGATTGACTTGAGTAGACCAGTGTTGAAAACCTCAGTTCAAGAAAGTGTACAGAACCAAATTAAATAAAAATATCTCATACTTGAAAATCGGTTGTTTATTTTCAAAGATATTCAATGTTTACATACCGACATAAAAGATGGCGCACCCTGTATAATAATTGTTAATTTATATACACACTCTACGTTTCGCCAAATCTACTTTCAAACTAATTGAATCCCTTCCAGAGACAAATGAAAAAATATATTTTGAAAACCTTAGTCCACAATTTATAATATAATATGAAAAATATTGTAATCATGTATTCCCTTTTATTATATTGACTAGGTTAAAATCAAGAAAAATGTATAAATATTTTGTTTCTTACCAACACAGAAAAAATATTGTTTATAATGAAACAATTTTTTTTAATTTTAATTTAATGTGCTATAAGAATTACGTATTTAAAGAAATACACTAACAAAACTGGGAATCCCATTAAATGAAGACTTTTACAAAAATAGGGTTCATTAAAAAATTGTATATCAATGAAGATCTTGCGGAAAACTGTTGATTTAATGTATCGATGGATTGTTACCTCGACAATACCTACGTATAGCTTTAGCGTCATAGAGACATATTTGAAATGGTAATTACTACTATGCCAATTAGGATTTGTCCCACTTACCCGCGATTGGTGACTTTGGCGACTTGAGTGAATATTCATCCAGATTCTTGCCGCCCAGATCTAGTTTTAGCACTTTTTTTGTAAGCTGTTGTGTGGCCGCCTCCACGTTGGATGTCTTCTCGATTCTGATATCCACGTTACGCTGGCTCACTGCACTTTTCGTGAGTGCATTTGGAGGGTCGACCGTACTGGGCGTACCGGCTGCGGCTGTTGCGGCTGTAGGGGGTTTCATGGTGTTGGTGGCGGCTACAACGACTGGGTTTGTGGTGGCTGTGGTAGCGGTGGTTGCATCTATTGTATCAGACATGTTGTTGTTAATGTTGCTGGATGTATTATGTTTATCAATGTTGTGATTGTTGTTGTTGTTGCAGTTCGTAACGGCCACTTCTGCAGTTGCTTGTTGCCTCTCAGCGTTTTTGGTTCTTAATGCTTCAAAATCTGAACAGTTACTATTCGCGTCTGAAAACGACGTCGCCGATGTCGTTGTTAGTGTTGCTGTTGTTTCTGATGCTGTATTTTCGCTTGTTCTATAACATTGAACGGCAGCAACAACCATTGTTCGAACACCAAATACGCCGATAGTTTAAAAGTCGTTTGTTGTTTGGTTTGTCGTTTGCATATAAACGATTTCCGCTGACGTGCGCAGCGCTTTTTGTTTGTTTGGCTTTGCTTTTATGTATTTTTGCCTCGTTTTCTTCTCCCGCAATTTTTCGCAATTAACTGCAATCGTATTGAAAATTTTGTTGTCTAGATCTAAATACATACGCATGTATTTGTATATGTATGTATGTATGTATGTTTGGTTTTATATATGTGATTGCCTACGGTGGTCTAGCTTCGCTGCGATAATCCACTTCGTTGGGTATTTGCAATTTGCTGGCAATAATATCAAAATTACCGCTGAGACTCAAACTAAAACCGAGTGCCGCTGCTGCCTGTTGAGTGCAATCGGTCAACGTGATTTTTGGCAGTTGCGTATCGCAGCCGTAATCGCTCACGCTCAATTGGCTCAGGTTATCGATAATTTCATACAACTTGTGTTGTTGATCGAGGTTTGTTGTCGTTTTTGACTTAATGGCTGTTAGGTTGCCGTTTGAGTTACCGTTACTGCTGCTACTGCTGTTATTGTTACTGTTTGTGTTTGTATCGGTGCCCTGCTGCCAGGTGAAATCACACATAATCTTGTCTGTGATTGTGGCTGTGATTGATGCGTCTGCTCCTACGTCTGCGCCTATGTCTGTACGGTGCACAGGTGTTATATGAACACGTATAGCATCAGCATCTAGATCACCATGTGCCTTTGTATTGCTCAGGTACAATTCACTGTTATTATAATCATCACCGTTATGAAAATTGTCAACTGCTTGGTGCTGCTGCCAGGGGCAGAATGAAAAATACTGTACACTATCGTGACGTTGTCGATGTTGCCGTTGCTGCTGCTGTAAATGTTCCTCTTGCTGCTGTTGCTTTTGTTGCTGCTGCCGCCTTATTGCATTACGCGCCCCAATCGATTGCAAGTACTTGATATTGGCATGCAACCCCTGTTCATAGTACGCGCTGGCCAGTTGCAAGTATGTGTAGAAGTCAACGCGTTGCACACTGTTGTTGTTGCTATTGTTGTTATTTTTGTGAGCCGCTGTTGGCCGTTGTAGGTTTTCCACCTTTGCCGTATTAATATTTAGCAGCTGATGCTCATAACTACCACGGCTACCGGCACTGCCATCGCCATGACCAAGCTGAAGACTATTGTCGTTAGCCGCCTCGTTGTCGTCATCGCTCTCATGCCGTTCCCTCCTCCCCCTCCTCCTCCACGGCTTTGTAGTCGTAGTCTCCGCTCTTTTACCGCTTTGTCGTCTTTGTCGTTGTTGTTGTCGTTGCCGCTGCCCACTTGCTCTAATTGTCGTTGTCGTTCCCGCTGCTGACGCGGCCCTATGTCAGGATAGTTGGCGCTCTACAAGCACCTTCAATTCCTCACAACTCTGTGCACTTCTTATGCGACGCACCGCGTCGTTGTACGTTTCGTCCGGTGGCTCGGCAGTGCAAATAGTTTGTCGCCCACGGGGCGCATACGTATCGGCGAATCTGTAATTAGTGGAAGGCGCCCCATAAGTGGGACACGGAGGGTTGCAATGTTAATTACAGCAAATACAAACACGTATGTAGTTATATTAGTGTGTATGTATGTGGGGGTTTCCAAACAAATCGTTAGTTAGGACTATTGGCCTGCCCTCTCCCTAAAAATATACTGCCTATCTAAATATATAATGCATTAATTAAACTATGGGTTTTGGGCTCTTCTACGATTCACACTGTACAGGAATTGGAAATCAACGGTGACTTTACAAAAAAAAAGTTACATAAAAATAGCTTTAGAATAGTGTGCGAAGCTTTCATAACCCCTTCGCTTGTACTTCTTCGTTTTTAAAATAACATATGAATACAAATATCATAGATTTTTGGGATCATTCGTTGTAGAATTGGAGTGCAAGATTAATCGAGATGAAGATCCATGCTTGATGAGCTTAGTATTATAATTTATTCCCATTGGAAGAAATGGTTTAGAACATAAATCGGTAACTTTTATAGAATATGTTGGTAGTAGCGTGAAGAAATGTTTCAACGGGTCCAAAAGCTAAAATGATTTTAACAGATATTTAGGGGGAGCAGAACGTTAAGGGCGTCTTTCTCTGCGAAACTTCAACTTGAACAAACTTTTGTGCACATATCAAATACTTAATACGTTATCGAAACAAACAGAAAAGTTTATAGTACTACGATTGTGCCCATGGCAGCTAAATATATGATATAGTGCACCGAATTTGATAAAACTTCGGATCATTGTTGACTAATGACTATTATTAGAAATACTATATACTATATTTTTGCATTTGGCGTTTATACTTTGTTCCTTCATCCTTTTAGCTTTTGGATACAGAGTATAGCATAGAAAGAAAATTACATGTTGAACCATGTTTATTACAAGCGATATACAAAATAATTATTATATATAGTTTCCATAGGAAGAAACAGTATAATAGAACAATAATTTTGTATATTATGATGTTAATGTTCATTGAACCCAGGCAAAGCTAAGGAACAAAAATTACTGCTATATGGGGGAACTGCAATGTAATGAGGGTTGTGGCAGTTAAGACCCTCTTTAAATAGTATCTAAACAGATGAAATTAAGTTTCCCACGTAAGGGAGTTAATTGCATTAACCATTCTAACGTTTGTAACCCTTGCATGTCTGACGTTGCGACCTTGACAGCCAAACAAGCGGTAGAGCGTAGAAGGTCGAGCTAGAGATGCGACAGTAATTCTATCGCAACTTCAAAGCAGTGCCCCACTCAGGTCAATTAAACCCAACCTATATTTATGGCCACGACGCCCACGCCCAAGCACAACAAGCACAAGACCACCACTCCACACACAAGGCACCACTCCTCCTGCCGACAACGCCAATAACACCGACAAAACCGACGACGACTCAATCAAATTACTGCCAACATCAACCGCCACAACAATAATAACAAAAAGGAAAAATATTTACAATAGAACCACCTCTTGCGCTTGTACATATGTAGATATGCATATATTTAGATATGTATATATGCATATTTGTATGTATGTATGTATATACATATGTATGTATGTACCTGGGAAAGTAGTGCACATGCGTGGGCAGCACCCCACGATACTGGGCATATTGGGACTTTAATGACGCCGCTTCTACCGCATCCACTGCCACGCCCATGTGATAAAGTGGACGTCGTGGACGACATGGCATCGGCCGGCGACGACGGCGCTGAAAAATGCTCTGCTGGGGTTGCATCTTATAGTCGCGATAGTGATTGGCGATCTCATGCCGGTAGCGTTCAGCTTGCAACCCCTTGGTACTATAGATGCGACGCATCGTCAGCTGAGGGACAAACCTATCTCCTAATTGCATTGGCCTGCCTGAGACCATAAGACTACTGAAATCCCGTCGCAGCTTTGTCGAAGCCATGTCCAACTCTTTTTGATTATTAAGTATCAAAACTTGTGTTTCTTTGAGGCGCGACAATCGAACCGGCTGCGCTGAGACGTTCCGTCAAACTAGGCTGCAGCAGTAGGGACGATGTCAGACATCGCTATTAGAAGCCTAATCAAATATGTTTGTAACTATATGTACGCCACTTATATAATATGGCTTCCCCATACTCTCCTCTCCGAGGCACAAAAACTACAGTGGTACTGCAAATTATGTTCATTGATTGAGTGAGCGACACACAATCACAATATAAGTACAACAAAATACAAGTTCTGTTTAGCAACAACTTGCGGTTTTTGTTATCACGTCAGGCAGCGATTCGTTGTCGTTTGTTTGACATCGAAATGAAATAAGTCCATGCATTCCCCATTCCCCATCCTTGCCTCCATTGCCCTCGCCGTCACCCTCTTATTTCAGTTACGAGCTACATATGTATGTACATACATATGTATAACTGCAATCCCAATTCAATTGACGAGTACCTAAACAAAACAGCATTATGTATTCAGTTAAGTGCTGGTAAATGTGGGTTGGGCCTCAGTTAGTTGGATAAGGATAGGGTAGGGTTGGATCGGATCAGATGTGGCATGCCCTCTCGGCCCGTCTGCCAATAGAAAAATTAATAGTTTTCATGTCGTTAACTATTGTAACTGGTACATCTTCTTTGACATTCGTCCCACCCGGTTACGTTTGTGCCTTGCCATAACATTTGCATATTCGTCTGATATACCGCTCCTACTCCGGCAACAAACAGCTTGGTTCTAAACCCACACCCACCAACCAACACCCACCGCCCATCGATTGCGTCGTAAGCAACAATAACTAGAGGCTATTAAAATACAAAGCAAACAATGCCGGTGAATACCACAAATGGCTTAGCGGTAATTCCATTGTGAACTGTGAATGCGCTCTAAACAAAAAGTTTAACATAAATATAGAATAGTACAAGTCTGCACATATAGTAAGTACACGAATTTCTTAGTCTATATTGGTATTCCGGTGACCAAAGAGACCACAAGAATAACGGAGAATGCATGATAAATGAACTCACTCAGGGCTTTAGCAGAGTTGAGAACATTGACAAAAAAATATATTTAATTGGCTTGAAGCAGAATTCTTTGAACTCATCGTACAAATGATATGAATGATGCGATAAATTTTAATAAATCCACATTATGTAATTAAGAAACTAAAACTTTAAACGGATCAGGCCATAAGTAAAAATAGAGTGAGAAAAATATAATCACTTTATTTTAGGAGTCGCAAAATTATAATTATATTAAATTATAATTATTTCGTCTCCATACAGCTTTACCCACTGCAGGTTTTTTTTTAATTTTATTTTTTTTTAGTTTCCTCAATAGTTAAACGGTAACTGTCTGTTAAATGGCATTAACATCAGGTGGCAACGCTGTGACCAAAACAAATGCAAGCCTACAAACAAACTTAAACAATCACCATAAAGGCTTCCACATTTGTCTCGTCCGTACGCACTTAATTGAAACTCGGCTCCCGTTTAGCAAATGATAATGAGCTCTGAAATATCTGGACATTCAAAAAATATTTTGTAAAATGTTATTGAAACTTTAATTGGTACTGCAATGTCAATGGTTCCAATAAAATTTGGCATTATAGCAAAATTATTGTTAATTGGTATCTTATTTATTTAAAGTATTTTTCTTGCTAATTAGCTAACTGCTTTAATTCATAAAATTTGGTTATCGAAATTTAGTTTTGCCTATAACCTATCCTATAGGGCCCGCTTAAGTATTTAAACCATCAACAACTGTTCAAACCTACAATCCAGGTGCGCTCTATGCAGTTATTTATAAAATAAAAAAAAAACACATGTGGGTCAGCTTGTTTCGCGGTCTCAAATCAATTACAAACGTCCACCTTTCTTTCAGTTCGTACAAGCTGCCTAAAAATATTTATTACATTCAGATTATTATTTTCAATGGAAATGCTATGTCTGTGCATAGAAATGCCGATCAGGTGTAGGGAACATGTCGAGCAATGTATTGATACAATTTATAATATCTACCCTACATTACATGCTCCGCTTTATATACTTGTACATCTGTATATGTATGCATGTATATATAAATACACATGTACATATCAATCAAATTTGGGTTCTTGCTAATGCAGCAAATATAACAGAATGATTAATTTCCATTTTGTGATTATATGGCGACATGCAACAACGGCAGAGCTGTGGTAGGCCTGGAAAAGTAGTATTAATAATGCCAACAATGACTGGGCTTACCCCATTCAAATGAACCGAAATTAGTCATTGTGAAGAGCAGCAGTGGGCCGGACTACTGTTGTGAGTTGAGTCGATATGTCGGGTACTAATGGCGCTGATTTGCAATCAATCAACGACGCCACCATGTCGAGCTGTTTAGTTAATTGAAAAGTAATGTGAATGGCGCTACTGGCCAATCGGTTGACAGTTAAATCAGTTAAAAGTTTCGGGCAAATTAGAGGATCTGCTGTTGCGGGCAACGTTTTAGTATGAATTTTATTTGAGTTCTAACTAGCCCATTACACAGGCAGCGATGCATGGAACAAGGAAAGAAGGAGTCGGGGATAGGGATGAGCCCTCAAGACCGCATTTCGAGTTATTGCTGTGTTTATTTGTTCGTGAAGACTTAACATGCCAAGCGGCAATGGCAACCCACTTGGGTAGGTCACAGTGCTGAACAAAAGTTAGATATAGTTGAAGCTTAACAACTTAAACATGTGTTTGCTGGGAAGAACGCAGAGACGCCAAAAAGTAGGCAAGTTTCTTCTCTCCCTGTTTGTTTGCTAGCATAATGAGTCTGCACATTCGGGCCCGCTCAAATATTTAAATCCATATAAAGTGCATTTGCGTGTACGTGTAATTAGGACAATAGGAAAATTTGTCTTTTATAGCATTATGTATGTGTACATATGTATGTACACATATGCACAGTGTTTACGCATACAGGCGAACATATCCCAATGAGCGACAGTGTATGTCATGCATAAGTGAGTTTTTCCTGTCGTGGAAAATAACACATTCTCGCCGTGGAAAAGACTATCACAAGCAGTAAAAGTTTTGCTTCACTTAAGCATAAAGCCACCATAGCTGTGTTGCAGTACGTCCGTCCGTGTGACATACTTATAATGCTTTATCACATACATACATACACATATATATGTACATCTATAGACGACTATCCAGGCGAATGCATAACACTGTTTTTTCTCACTTATACGGTCAATAAACTGCTACGCAGGAAGTACAATGACAGCAACAACAACAAAACCGTTGGTTCAGCATAAAAACCAACAATAATAACAGCAGTTAAATCAACTCACATCAAGAGAAAACAGAAGCAGCAGCTGCTTTAACATTGAAATTGGAATAAAATGCTCACATGGATGTCGTTGAATAATTAATTTAAATTAGTTGCATACTGAAAATCAAAATGTATTGATTGCTCGAACGCGAAATAAATGTACCGCTAACCTCTTTTTGCCAACTACTTCGCCGTCTAGTTCGTTCGCTTTGCAGGAGTATGTTAGACTGTGTTTTCCCGCACTCGTCGTAGTCGTCACCGTCGTTACCAGCAGGATAACAATTTAAACAGCTGGCTGAGTTTATTCTTTTCCTCCTCCACTACCACATTGGGCTAATCACTCATTCTTAGAATTTAGTGCTATTGTTGTGATTTTAGGCTACTGCATCGGTTGCTGACATTGTCATCAACGCTGAATGCAATTGCCAATAGATTCGTTGTTTATATATACACAGTTTAAAACAAGCTCAATTCGCGCTGATGGCATTTTCACTTAACACGACGTTTATTGCACTTTTACTTTTGGCAGTTTATTGCAAACAAAAAACGAAAAAACTACTGCGTACGTCTGTTTTCCAATTACTTGTCTTTTCCGATGATCATTTAAATATAAATGAATTCACCGATACGACGGAGAAAACTCGCTCTTTCGCTGTCCGATACAAATGGTGCCTGTGGTTCTTTGGTTTGAACAATTCTACTCGGTATCGATAACATTCGATACAATATTTTGGTGACTGCTGCGCTCGCTAGTTGCCACTTAGCCTTAAGATATGAATCTATTACCTTACATATACTATGTGACAAAATTAAGAGCGACTATTTTTACGGAAACCCCTGCTGTCCTATAAAACTCGTATGCAAAAAACGCCTTATTATACATTTTTTCAACTTTTTGAATCAATCCATGATTATGAGATTCCTGCATGAAGTAACTTCATAAATACGCCATAGTATATTCTAATGTGATAAGTTAAAACTTTTACTAAGATGTGTTATAGATTAATTCGAAATTCCAATTCCAGATTAATTCCAAATGTAAGGAAAGATTCTTACATTCAGCTGAAAATAATTTTGTTCAAAGAATAACAAAATTTCATCGGATTGATTAGAAGGGTATTTATTTTTGGAAAAAATTTATTTTTTAAAATGTTATCCAGAACGTATAGTGAATCTTATAAAATATAGTATTTAATCCTTTGATGACATAGAAATCAGACTACAGCTTTTGCTACTGAAGCCTTTTAAATATGTGAAATACTAAAATAAGAACTTAAATATCTTTACATCTTTAACTTATGTTAGATTCAAATTTTTACAATGAAATTTAAAGAATAATAATAAAAGCGAAAACATATTCAAACCTTAAGAGAATAATAATAAAAACGAAAAAATATTCAAACCTACTTCTTTAAATAATTTGTAAAAGTATAACTTTGTTATTTTTTCAGTTGTTCCTTTAGAGCAGCGCGATTGCGTGTACGGTTTGCAATACACGAAATATCTAATTCCAAACGATCAATGTCTTTAAGACGCTCATAACGATTTTGCTGTTGGTGCACTGCTGAACGGGTCCCGCCCATATTAAAGTCCGTTCCTGAACATCTTTTTAAAACTCGACATCTTCGAGCTTCTGTAGATGATGTATCTTCGGATGCTCTGCAAGAAGTACTTGTGCGGGATCGCGTTCCACGCTCTTTAGGAGATACCAAATGTTCAGCCTTTCTGTACGTTGTTATGCGAGAGCGACTTGTGCGCAGTTCAACAGATGCCGAATCCCTGATCATTCTCTGAGAAGTGCTGCTACGAGAGCGGCATCTACGCAATTCGTTAGATGCAGAATCTACGTCTATTGTAAGGGAAGGCTTTCTACGGGAGCGATGTCCGCGCAGTTCAGTAGGAGGGGAACGTTCGTCCACTTTTGGAATTGTTGCGCGAGTGCGATTTCCGTGAATTTCAATAGATGCTGAATCTTTGCAGATTTTGAGAGAGTCCCTTGTCCGAGAGCGGCTTTTACGCAGATCAACATTAGCCGAATCTCCGACTATTGTGGACGTAGTTATTGTACGAGAGCGGCCTTCGCGTTCTCCGGTAGGTGCTGACTCCTTAGGGATTTTAAGAGAAGCCCTTGTGCGACTGTGACTTCCACGGAATGCAGTAGTTGCCGAATCTTCTGCCATTTGGGAAGGAGTTCCTATGTGAGTGCGAGTCCTGCACTGGTCCTCAGATGAAGAGCTTTCTGCCATGTCTAAAAAGGCTCTTGAACGAGAACGACCTCTGCGCAAATGCAACGGATTAGTTTCCACTTTAGGCGTACGTGAACGAGCGCGTAATTCTCGAGTCCCTTGTCTCTGAATCCGCTCATAGTCTTGAGCAGCTGTTGAATGATGAGGGCCATTAGTGCCTATTGAAGGAACAGCTTTATTTATTTCGACATCTACATGAAGCGCACACTCAGGACGTAATTTGTTCGTTTGTACCCGCTGACTTTGTTCATGGTACTGGGCATGTGATAGTTTTGTCGAACCAATAATGTTTTCTTTATTATCGTCCCCGCAAAAGTAGGAAGTAGACGATGATGTTTTGTTCTGTATTAAGCATTTGTTAGGGTTTAAGTTGTCTTTGGTTTTCATAACATGCATAGGGAATTCCATGTCGAGCGGGTCACACTCATCGCTGCTTATATCGTCGACTGGCACCTGTTTTTTAACGCTGTCAGTATTTGAGTGCGGGAAATATAAATCAAGCGGATCGATTTCGTCATTACTTTCTAGAGAAGTAGTACTTTTTGTTTCCATCGAACGGCGCTCTATACGACTTTTTTTTGGTTTTTTATCAGAATCTGTGGATTCGGCAGGAGAGTCTTCATCAGATGAAGGTTCGGTGGATGGAGCGATTTGCTTTTTGCCCGCAATATGAATGGATTCATGCAAACTCCCATCCCGGCCGTTGTTGTTTCCTAATAAATGAGAGAACCTAACCAATGAGTCCATGGTGCTATAATCTTCATGCTCATCAGAAGGCGTTTCATTTCCAGTTGTGTTTAATGGTTTCGCCGAAGAGACTATATTGCAGTCTCTGCAGCTGTATGTGCCGGATGATTTGGGCTTGTTGCATGTATTATGAATCGGATTACCACCGCACAGACAGCAATATTTCAAATTTCCAACGCTGCGGCCACGTGGATAAACACAAAGTTCCGCTGTGCACGAAATAGGGCGATATGCTTGATCACGGAACGCTCCTGGTTCGAGTTCCCAAGACGCGTCGCTGCAAAGTATGGGCTCTGTTAGACCTGAACGTGGAACGAAGTGTTTTAGTTATTGCTTACCGATTTTGAATTGTTATGCCCCACCTCGCAACATCGTGAAATTTAGATGCATCGTTGCACAATGGGCACTTGAAAAAATATCCAGCAGAATTCGCATACTTCTGCAAGCATGATCTGTGGTACCATCCATTTCCGCAGCAAGGCGAAAATATCATTGTGGTAATGCTGAAACGCTCGCCCACCATGGCCAAGGCCTCCAAACATATAAAGCAAATCTCTTTAGGTCCAGGACGAAAGTTATGCATACGAATATGCTTTGGGCAATATGCCCTGTATGTGCCATAAAACTGATATAGGACGCCATTGTCGTAGCCACAGCCGGTATGAAATGTCTTGTGGCAGGACTTTTTGCAGCAGCCTATGTTGGCACCGAATTTAGAGCAGAAAGTGCATTGCTGTAAAAATGCAATATTTAACAACAGTTTTCTTAGCGACAGTTCATATTTATGAAAGCAAGAAAATATGTACGTACATATGTACATACATATGTGTGTATGTATGTATGTACTTACCAAGAATCTAGTGCGATCAGCTTCTCTTTTTATATCGTCTTCCATAAAACCATAAATGCCCTCGTCATCGTCACCTCGTTGGCAAAGGTTCGAGCTTAGATACTGTTGTGAAAACAAACACATTTAGCAGTTTGTAAATTTATTAAAATTATTAACGGAGTCATTTTACATTGGGGTACATATTTACCAAACAATTCTGATGTACCAACACTTCGCCAAGTGTTTCGATGCTTCCGAGGCGTAGGTTATCTTTATCCCTGGAGCGACAAAGCTTGCACGGCCTGCCGACCATTGTCTAATTTTAGTTGTGATATGGCAAATTCTTTTTTAATTTCTTTACAAATGTCTGCAGGTTAATGGCGGGAAAACAACAAGTTCGGCTTCAATCGATGGCACAAGCGACCAGTGTTGCAAGGTGAACACTTTTTGAAAATACAGATAAGTAGTTCAATAATATATTTATTATTATAAATTAGTGCTGGAAAATGAAATGGTCTTAAGCCTTTATCTGTGAAGAATTGGACAGGGGTCAAAAACTAAATAACAAAACTGATTTATAAAAACAACTTTCCAAATGCAACAGTGCAGTCATTGGAAAATATTTTATTTTTGATGACTTCAGCATATGAAAATGGATGAAGTTTCTGATTTTACAAACACTTCCAAATAACCGAAGTACCATGCAAATACGCTTTCATCTGCACCCGGCATATGCGGGTGTAACGTTGAATACGGTTAGAAGTAGTTTGTTTTAACTTAGAATCAAAAGTTATATGTTCATTATGGCTTTTTTTCAAGCACGCGACGAACTTTGTATTCATTTAAAATCGAAATTATTTAATACAATTATTTACTAAGCAACTTTCCCACGTCCCAAACACTTGCAATAACGATTACGATTAAATTTTCTATCGCTTAAGAAATTCTCGCCTAATAAACATCGATACCATCAGTATATACCTTACATCCCTAGGTCGACAAACAGACAAACGTACGGAGTTATAAAAATCGCAAATGCAAGTAAAAGTGCATTAAAACACATGCAAACATAAAAATCGATACACGCTTGCTAACATAATTCAAAAAATAATTTAGGAATCATAGTTTAAGCAAGTACTTAGAACGCAAAACGAATTAACGAAACGACGACAAATACGAAGAATCGACAATTATGTGCGCCTGTGTGTGTGCTTTGTATTGTATTGTGTGATTGTTTCTATTGTGTGAGTTACTGGTGGCGTGCGTGTGTACAATCGCGCGGTGTAGTGCGGGCGAGGGCGTACAAGAAGAAGCAACCGTCGGTTGTCAGAGTGAAATCTTCATAATCAAATCGAAGCAGTGGCATAAGCGGAGAAAAAAAATCAGCAGCAGCATACTGCAAATGTGGGTAGGTAAACACCCCGTATAGCAGCGACAACCCAAAAAAGTTCGGCCCGTACGGCCTTCTGTTTGTGGCGCGGTGGGTGTGGTGTTAACCCTTGTTGATGTTATTGTTGTGATTAGGATGAATATTGTTGTTATTTCGCATACGATGCAACCAATCTCTGCAAACTATTGAAAAACATAAATTAAACATAACATTTATTTTGATTTACAGGTCACGTTTCTTTGCTTCGCAAAGTTCACAAAGTGTGCACACATGTCACAGTTGTTGCATATAAAAAGCGTTTGATGCTGTCGCTCAGCGCCCACCGACGCAAAGCACAACAACGTGAATTAGCTTCCAGCCAATCGGCCATATCCAGCAGCAGCGCTGGCCATGCAGCGCTCCATCGGCGACAAGCAACACGTTGACTCCAGCCAGAATAATGTCAACGCGCAACAAGCAGCAGTACCGACAGCATACAGCACAGCAACCACAGCCAACGGCGGCGGTTGCACTGCAGACGTCAGCGTCGTCTTGGGTGCGGTGACATTGACCGACGAGGAGCCGCAGCCCGCCGACGGCAGCCTTTGGACGGCCCTGTATGACTACGATGCGCAGGGTGAGGACGAGCTGACGTTGCGGCGGGGCCAAATCGTTGTGGTGCTCTCTACAGACAGTGATGTTTCTGGAGATGTTGGTTGGTGGACTGGCAAAATAGGTGATAAGGTAATTGTAAGCAATCAAATACAGCGCCTCACGTATCTCACATCAAACCTATTATCTTTATTTTCTTTATTCAGGTGGGTGTCTTTCCGCGTAACTTCGTCACTGATGTGGATCCACTGCAGCAGGCGATAGATAGCATACAACCACACGAGGTTGACTACGATAAGCTAGAAATCAAAGAGGTAATTGGGTCGGGTGGCTTCTGCAAAGTACATCGCGGTTACTATGACGGCGAGGAGGTAGCCATTAAGATCGCCCACCAGCCGGGGGAAGATGACGAGCGAATGCGCGAGAGCGTGCTGCAGGAAGCCAAGCTCTTTTGGGTGCTAAAGCATGAGAACATTGCCGCATTACGCGGCGTGTGCTTGAACACCAAGCTGTGCCTGGTCATGGAATATGCGCGTGGCGGCAGCTTAAACCGCATACTTGCTGGCAAAATACCGCCGGACGTTTTAGTAAATTGGGCCATCCAAATTGCGCGTGGAATGAATTACCTGCACAATGAGGCGCCCATGTGTATTATACATCGCGACCTTAAGTCATCCAACGTGGTCATTTACGAGGCCATCAAAGACAACCAGCTACATCAGAAAACTCTCAAAATCACAGACTTTGGACTGGCCCGAGAAATGTACAACACACAACGCATGAGTGCGGCAGGTACCTACGCCTGGATGCCGCCGGAGGTGATCAGCAATAACATGTACTCAAAGTAAGTTTAAACAGCCCATTGCGATCAATTGCATTTGACAACAATAAAATGGTGCGAACTTGTAGATCCGCTGATGTGTGGAGCTACGGCGTACTATTATGGGAGCTGATAACGGGTGAAACGCCCTACAAAGGCTTCCATCCACTGTCTGTGGCTTATGGTGTGGCCATAAACTCGTTAGCACTGCCCATACCAAAAACCTGTCCCCAGGAATGGAGCTCGCTTATGAAGAGTAAGTGAAGTTAAGATGGGAGTACAATAACGTCTGACTGAATGATGTCTTTATTTGCAGGCTGCTGGGAAACGGATCCACACAAGAGACCAGGCTTTAAAGAGATACTCAACCAGTTGGAGAACATTGCACGCTCCAAATTCACGCGAACGCCGCATGAATCCTTCCACTACATGCAGGAGGGCTGGAAAAAGGAGATAGCCGAGGTGCTACACGACTTGCGCGAAAAAGAGAAGGTAGCCATTGTAACCGTTGTGCAAAAGATCCTATAGTTTTTGATGTAGATCGTAATCTGTAGGAAGTGCGCGTTTGCATTTGGCAAATGTGACATACATTGGAAGTTAGCATTATATGTATTGTATAGACCTTGTCGCTTGCTTTCCCTCTCTATTTATATATATTTCTCTCTGTCCTGTTTTTTGTAAATACCAATATGTGTGTCTCGCTTAAATCTATGATACAAGTTTACTAATTTGGTTTATTTTTTCCTCCAAAATAACAATTTCCTCTCAATATTTATGTAACCAAATTCAAACCCATACAAAAACAATCACACAAAAAAGCGTTTTCAAACCACCGAAGAGGTAAGCTCCCCATGACCAATAAACACACGATTTCTCCGCCCAGTTCTATTCACTTTAAGTGTTCTATTTTAATTTCAGTTTAAGTTTAGTTATGCATTATTTGTCCCCATTATTGTCTTATCTGATTCATTCTAAATATGTATTCAAAACCAATTGCATGCGAACCACCTACGTTTGGTTTTCTAGTTTAAACATTCGCCATAAACCCAAAGCTTTTATTAATTTCCTCGACCACCCCTTTGCTCATCACATAGGAACTGCGCAACAAGGAGGAGCAGCTGCGTCGCGTCCAAAACCAACAGCTCGAAAAGGCGAATTACTTGAAAGTGCTGGAGCAGCATCTGCGGAAACGAGAAATGGAGGTAATTGGCCGTGAACTGGCAATGTTGCAAACACCGGAGCCATTTAAACGAAAGCAGAAGAAAGGCAAAAAGGTTATTAAGGTGAGTAAGGTGAGTATGATGATTAAGAAAATGTACTTCAAACTAATTTACATATCTTATTCTGCACAGAACAAGCAGCTGCAAATTTCTCTGCCCACGGAATTTCGTCACCAGATTACAGCAGTATGCGACAAAGTTGAGCCGCCTGGTTCGCCTTCAATATCAGGACTACGGATAGTGGCACGTGAGTTCACAAACCTTAAAATTAGCTTTCAAGTTAAGAGGGAGAGACAGAGAGAGAGAGAGAGGAGAAAGTGCTCAACTATTTTAGTAGAGGCATAACTTTCGTCTTAATATGTTTGGAATTAAAAAAAACGCTGCAGTTCGGCAATATTGCTGTTTTGGCATTCGAAGAAGATTAGATTCGATTTGTTAGTCGAAAATGTATTGAACTCGAAGTGAAAAAATTGAGTACCAAACTAATTTATACTTTCTACATAGCCTGCCCCTTTTTATCGAAGTAACCTTCTTAGATACACCCGCACCCACCAATTCCACTTAGAAATCGTAATTCTTTATTTCACTCTTAAATAAGGTGTCTTAAAAAATTCGGATGCTCATAAAAAACGTTTAAGGGCTCTTTATTTATTATATATATGTATATTAGAGTTGATAACTACTTTTTATTTGTTACTGAATTTTTTGATTTCTTGTTCATTTGCCATTTATTGTTTCTTTCATTTTTGGTTCGTGTTTCATTTGTTTGGTTGGTATGATGCGCTTAGTTACCGATGGTCATAAGGGCAAGACGTGGGGTCCCTCCACCATGCACCAACGTGAGCGATCGCTGCTGCGCCCCACAATGGGCGGCCAGCCCGAGTGGTCAGCCCAGAGCTCGACGCACTCATCGTTCAGCAAGAGTGCGCCCGATTTGGACAAGAAGGCGCCGCGCCAGCAGCTACATCCACAGCTTCCACAGACTTTGCAAATGGGGAATACATTGCGTGCCGGCTCCACGCCAACCACGCCCACCCATGGAGCCATGTTTGTGGGCGGCGGTGTGGCGGCTATTGGTGCGGTAGGCGCGGGCGTGGCCTCAGGTATGCCATATATTTTATTGCATACCAACAACAACAGCAACAGTAATGGCAAAAATAACAGTAACAACATTAATAATAATAATAATAACAACAAAACTAATAATAACATCAACATGTCACCACTGTCAGGCGCATTTACATCCACATCCGCCTCGATCGCCATGTCACCCACAAATGCCGTCGCTCCACAGCTGAATGGCAAGTACGGCAACAACAATAACCACAATACGAGAAATGGCAGCCTTAATGGCGGTGCCGCTCATTATCTAGCCAATAGTCCACACTTACACAACCAGCTGGCCGGTGCCCCACACGCCATACATTTTCATCACACAGTCGTCCAACATTTGCAACAACAACAAACACGTGCCCGCAGCCACGACCATGGTCTGGACCATATGCAGCCTTCCTACAACTATGGCCCGTCGACGCTGGCACCCCCACAGCCGCCCTTGATGTCGGACGATAGCTCTGAGACAGACACGCTGACTCCGACGACAGGTTGCTTTCACTTCCTCAAGTCGAGTGCATCCACAGCGACAATACAGCCGTCAACTGCTGAAGGCGGAGCTCGCGGCGGATGCAGCAGCCTGAACAACAGTCCAGCCGTTGGTCGCAAGAAGCATTCGCTGGACAGCTATCTGATGTGCGCCGGGCCAGAGCAGCTGGAAGAGCCACTCTTGTCGTCGTCACCGCCATCTTCGGCGGTGCTACCAACAGAAAGCGGCGAACACAACACCTATGATCGTGCCTTCTACCAGCAGAACTTTAAAAAGATCTTTGCCCACAGCAGCCGCGCGCTGAACACACAATTTGGAGCCAATGAGCGGGTCAGCTCCAAGTCCAGTGGGGATCTGACGATATACAACTCAGCCACCCAGCTCACCGAAGAGTCTTACCATAATTACGATGCAACGGAGGATGATCTGGAAGGCGGCCACTTTCAGCGCAGAGGAGGGTCCCAATTTACGCGCGAGTGCTTCTTTCGTCAGCCCTTAGATGCGACGGGCGATGAACCCGCTGTAGGTGCTGATAACGACAAGTCGTCTTCCGACGACGACTACGATGATGCTGACAATGCAGACAGAGAGCAGCAGCAACAACAACGTGATCTTAACTCTTACTGCTCCTCGGAGTATTCATCGACTATGGAAACCTCGGGCTCACTGTCGCTGACGGCGCCTCCGCTGCCACAAACCTCACGCAAAAGTTCGGTTACCTTTCAAATGAACTCTATGGACTCCACACAGAATGTTTCCTTCGCCTCGTTAGAGGAACAGTTGCCAGCCACTACCGCCACTGCCGCCACCGCCATTGCCAGCGACCAGAACCAACAAAATACGTCCACTGCCTCCATCAGTTTTGTGAGCTACTATTCGGATGACGACGATGCTGGACTAACGAATGGCTACAAAATTCAAGATAACTCTATTTTGGCCACGCGACGCATGCGAGACGTGCAACCTCATCCGGATGTTATCAAGATGAATAAGCACCTGCTCGCCGAGCAGCGCAAACAGAACAGCAAGAAACAGAAACAAATGCTGAAACATCTGCCCAAATCCAAATCGGTTGAGGCGGCCAATGGCGGTGGTCAGACGAATGGACATCCTCATAGGCATCAGCAGCAGCAGCCGCAGCAGTCAACCACCAAATTTAAGTCCCTGATGAATCTGTTGTCGCGCGGCTCCAAGAAAAAGTACTCAAAGCTGTCCGAGAAGACGCTGGGTGGCAACGAAGTGAGTGCAAGCGGTGAAAACATCACAGACTTTCATGCTGTTGATCCGTATGATGCGGAGGCTGTTCACACCAAGACCACAGGATTTGCGTCATTGCGGCGACGGAACAAGAAGCCACAAACCCAGTCCTGTGAGCAGTTGGAACGCTTTTAGAGCCAATAATTCAGATGCAGCAGCTTTAGAAGTTGTTCAATTTGTGCCTTGCTGTGCGGTGCGATGCGGTGCTGTGCGCCTGTTCCAATCAGTTTATCCACCTCCTGTTAATGCCTACCATGCGATTGTGTTATTGTGGTTGGTTGTGTGAATGTGGTCGTCTATTCATTAAAAACATGCAGCTTCAAACCAACATCATTATTCTTAAACTCAAACGCATTTTACTACAAACACTATAAACCCAATGTTTTATATTAAAACCACACAACAAAAACGAAGCAACTAAAAACAGAAAGAAACAAAGAGGGGAAATCCCAAGCTATTTAACCATAATTTCGGATTCAACTGCATGAATAATTCATAAAGAATAATATCACATTAATCTAAATTAATGTAAACGCCTAGGTTAAACATTTTTGATACCAACATATACAAAAAAAAAAAATATATATATACATATATATTTATATAAATACGCATGTGTGCAGGTAGGCGCCGCCACATACACACAAACATACACAAATATCTTAGTTGAACTAAGTTATAGTTTTATGTATTTCTAACATACATATGTATGTACATGCATATCTATCTACATGCATGTATAGTATAGGTATACATATGTACATGTGGTCAGTCGAAAAATTGTTCTTTAAGTTTTATAAGTATATACCAACATTAATTTTTTCTATGCATTTCTTACATACATATCTATGTATGTATGTATAATTTATGTGGTCGAGTCAGCAACAACAAAAATTGTTCATTTAAGGTATTTAAGCACGATGATTATGGTTTATTTTTTTGGAAATTTGAAACAACAGCATCAACACTTGTGGAGTATTTATCCGCCTTCTTTTTGTATTTGAACACAGTTTTGTTTTTTGATAATTATCGTTTGTATTCTATATTATATATTTTTTTAAATTGGCTTTTATTTATTTACTAGCTATGTATTTATATTAATATTTTTTACCTTAATATTCGTGTTGTTTTCATTGCATAAACAAATACAAAAAAAAAAAAACAGAGAAAAACAAAAAAAACTGTGATTTAAAAACGCGAAAAATATGTATTATTGTACGAGAAGTTTGATTTATTTTTATTTTTTTATTATGTACCTATGTATGTAATTGTAAATTTATGTTTGTTTTCTCAAACTTCTAAGTTTCAACATTAAGTTTCTTTATTGTTTTCATTTTTTGCGGTGTTGTGCAACACTGGCAGCCGCGTAGCGAATATAATTAAAACTACAACGAAACGGACAATAAAACAACTAAAAGTGAAACAATTTCGTTCAATTTGTAATTTGAATTTTGATTTGTATCAACCCCCCTAACCCTCCTCGATATACTACCCAGCCCCCACCCCAACCTCCCCATGGTGACGGTCGCCGGCTAAGGTACGAAAGAATGAAGTATGAGGCTTTAGTTGATGGTTTTGCCTGCGGTATCCCCTTTGAGCCCCACAAACTTCCTTGCCTTTAGTTAATAACAAGTCACAAGCTTTCTAAACCGTCAAATGTTCACGCACGCCGCCCTCTTCGAACTGCGCAGCGGGCTTCAGCGCCAAGGACGACTGGCCAGGGAGCATGCCGATAATGTCACCATCCCCGTATCTGCTCAGCCGATTCACCACAAATGTGCCGCTTCCGACTCTCTACGCCGGCGATGCTGTTCGCAAGCCGAAGCTCTCCGTAATCGAAGTGCTGCTCTATAACATGGCCTCCATGCTAGCAGGCGTCGCAGCCGGCTATGATGTACGCATGTCGAATGTGTCGCCACTGCATCCATCGCTGCTGAGCGAGGTACCGGCCCTGAAGGCCATACCCAAGGTGGCCGAAATGGGCGAGAACGAGCTGCAGCCTGCGGTGGCAGACGACAGTGGCCAGGGAGCCGAGTGGTTGCCAAAGCCGCCAACCGCAGATGTTCCACGTAAATTTGCGGCCAACACCTATCACGGCACGGGCAAGACGCATCCACGGTGAGTAGACCAGTCCATTAATGAACAGATCACAGTTCTATTAACATACATATTTTTTTATTACAGGACTGCCTTGAGTGGCCTCACCTATGCGCCCCTGGAACCAGCTCTAGAGATGATCGAGGCTCAGAAGCAGCAGCACCAGCAGTCTATTTCGCGTCGAGGTGGGGGCAGCCAGCCATATTATACGCCCGTGCAGCGCACACCACAGCACCAACTGCATCAGCAATCACAGGCGCATCCACAGCCACCGCCGCTGCCACCGCCAATTGCACAGCAACAGCCGTCGACATTCTCCACAACCAGCGGGCTCGGCTCATCAGCACTATATTCCAGCTCACTGGGTAGCCAGTGCCACACGCAGCCACCCACCCCTTCACCGCGCCGCAAGATCAGCACAAGCTCATTCCCAGAACAGTTGTCGTACTCGCCGTTTGGGGAGGGTATCAATGCGAGCAACGCTCAGGTCTTCGAAGAATTGCACATGGATGGTGGAGTTGGTCCGCCACCCCTCTATATGCCTAGCGACTATCCACGCAATGGACCAAGCTATTCAAACGATGGTGGTGCCTATGGCGCTGGCGCCCATCGCACTGGCTACTTTGGTAAGTACTTCTTGTCCAAGATGTGAGATCTTTTGATAATGTAAAGTGCGTTCGACTCAGATACACCCCATTTTTTTGTGGTTTCTTATCTACATATAGTATATACGTTCTAAATGTGTGCTGAGAAAGATTAAAAACGTAATTATTACCACAGTAGATCATAGATAGATCGTCGTGGGTCCTATATGTTTTAATCAATTCTATTGCTGTTATGATGCAATTCTCGATTGTTTCAATCTGATTGTACTAGTATTCGAATTAGAAATTTTAAGCTATTTTGGGTCGAATCTACAGCAATTCGAAATTTTAAATAGTATATATATTCATATATTATTTTTAAAATAAAGATATATCATGCACATAATTATAATGATAAACGAATTGTTTCTTAGTTTCAAATTCTATATTGCATGAAGAATGAAAGCAAAAGCGATTGAATTCAAAGAATATCAAGGCTTTTAAAGTTTTTAAAATTAAGGCAACATGTTTAAAGAAATTATGCTAGAACGGGAGTACCAGAATGAAAACGTCTTAGAATTACAAACGATTAGCTTTTGTTGAACAGTTATGTGCAAAGTAACTAAAGCTTTTTCATAATTTTTTATATTTATGTTAGCAAGTACAGGAAGTATATTAATAATAGATTCTTACTTTATCGAATTATGGGTTCACGAATATATAATATTAGATCGCTTTTATATTTAAACGCATTACTTCTATAGTTTTTTGAAATGATTGAATGATTGAAACGATTGAATTATTTGAGCTTAGTGGGTTTTTTTTTTTACTTTTTATTCTTTCCAATCTTTTCCTCTCACTCGCCGTTGTAAGGTTTTGGCAATAACTCTCACATCTTTAGGTTGTTTTTTTTCGTACCGATACAAATAAGCTTAGAGTTATAACTTTTAATCCAAGGTAGAATTACCCAGACGAAAAAAATCGTTGGAACATTTTTCTTAGGACCGGGAAAGGCACCTCGGGTGGGTTAACCTCTGTTGCTCACCCGAGACTTTTGTCTATATTATTGAAATATATCACACGGTATTCTGTTAATTTGTACACGGCTGTATGTTAAATTTATCTCAATCCCAAAAGGTTCCAACTACTTTCCGTACCGGCCCGAGCTGAGTTACGTCTACGAGCGGGACTGCAAGTCGTATCCGGACTACTCCTACGACTACTACAACTATCAGTATGAGATGCCGGCGCCACCTGCTGTAGTGGCAGCTCCAGCGGCACAGGCGCGCACGCAGCTTCAAACGCGCACCCCGCCGCCACGGGTTCCCCAGATGGGCGTGACTGCGGCGGGCCATCGTCGCACGCCATCGACTGTGTCGAACAATTCGAATATACTGCTGGGCACCGGCTATGCCATAGAACCAGAGGAGCTGCTGACGTTGCCGGCGGAGCTGTATGATTACAACAACTTGAACTTGGACTACAAGCACGAGACGTACCGCGAGCCGGTGCCTGCCGTCGTACCGCCGCCAACTAAACAGGAACTGTACGCCAGTTCGCCCAAAATTCTAAATCGCTTGGCGGGCGGCAATACCGGCGTAGTCACCGGCACCGGCACTGGCACTGGCACGATCGTAAGCACAACCACAGCAACTAGCAGTCTGAGTCGGCTGCGTGAGTATGAAACGAGCTTTGCGCTGGTCAGTCCCCTGCCCAAGACTAAGTTCGCGCAGTCAATAATACACGAGCGCCCCGCAAGCCTACCCTTCGAACAGCACACGCTCAACTATCAGCAGCAGCAGCAACAGACACAACAGATCCCGAGAGGGGTGCAGCAGTCGCAGCAGCAAGCGAGTGCCAAGCTACGTTCCTCGCTCAAAAAATCGACGCCAACCGCACACAATGGAAGCATCTCATCGCAACAGGGCACGCCCACAAATCCGACACCGCCAGATTCGCTAACCAGTGACGACAGCTCCTATTTGAGTGCCAAGGAGGGCTCCATCTCGTCGCAGCATAGTCGAGTGCGCTTCAGTCCCGAGGCCTATTTGGACGCTGCACTGCCGCCGACCTCATTAGGCCGTCGCATGACAGCCCCTATAACCAGCACTGTCGCGAGCGCAGCTCAGCAGCAACGACGCCAGATGCACGCATCGAGCGCCAGCACTCCATCTCCTTCTCCCTCGACGTCCTCCTAGCAGGCACGACTAGCGCTGACGTTGCAGTTGGCGCGCAGTCCGGGCGCGGACGTCAGCGGCAGTCTGGGCCTGGGCCTGGCTTTGCATCAGCAGCGAGTACCGTACCGCTGGTATTCGGGAGCGCGACGTTCACGCTCTGCCCACTATGAGTACAGGCTGTGAGCTGGGAGCAACAGAACGGCATCGGTCGTAGCCGTGACTGTGACTAGTGGAAGGACAAGAGTAACAACAATAATTACAGCAACAACAATAAATGCATCAAGATTTATATACCTCACAGGCAGGGCATACAGATAAAGATACACATACAAATACAAATACATATATTGTAAACACATGATGTGGCGGGATGTCTTAAAGAATGTGCCAAGTTTTGAATTCCTTACAAACCGATGTATATTGAAACATTTTATTAAGAATTGTTCAAACATATAACCCCTATATACATATATTTCGATAGCTTCTCTCCCTGTTATCCATTCTTATTGAAATCAATTCAAAATTATCTTGGCCCACTCAATAATTCATTCCTCACCCATTCACTTGCATACTTGCATACATAAATATGTAATGGGTACTTAAAAAGTCTTCAAATTAGTTATATCTATGTATGATGTACAATATAATTATGTAAGCAAATACTATATGTATAGCCTCCCCATAATCATGCATACTATACAGGTATATTAAGAAGTGCGAATTGCCTTAACGCCTCAGCTCAAAATTGTATAAAGTGTATACAGACATGCGATATAATCGACTGCGGTTGGTAAATGTTCTTGAAATTGAATGTCAAAAAATCAATTGATAAAAATTTCGTTTTAAAACTGACTCTTAAACTTCAAAAAAAAAATATATACAGGCTAACAATTTGCTCACAAATTTGTTAACTTCTTAACTGTGTTAACTGTGATTGTGTGCAAATTATTTGCAAGTCTGATCGTAGCTTCAGTTTTCGAAATCATCAATTCATTTGAAATTGTGTGATTGTGTCATTTTTCTTATCAAGAATACGAGTTCCAAAAAGCTCTTCTTTGTCGCTAGAAGAGGCTTGGAAATCAAGCGAACTTCTGAATGTTAATTAAAATAGTACGTTTTGAAAACACTTTCCAAACGCAGTTGATACACTATGTACCCGAAATCTTGTACTCGTATATACACACAATGTACCCATGTATACAAACACGTAGAGCATATAGACGACTGTTTAAAATTGCGTTCTTTAGTTAGTTACATACAATTGTGCCACGCCTACGCCAATACAAGCACTTTAACTATAAATGAATCCGAATGCAATGCAACAATAATTAGCATGTCACACCTTTACACCCAAACCGAAACTCCATTCTTAAGTCTGACAAAGGTTTACATATACATACATACCCGTATATACCTACATATATATATATATATATATATATATATATATATATATATATATATATATATATATATATATATATATATATATATATATATATATATATATAGATATATATATATATATATATATATATATATATATATATATATAGTTCTGCAACCAACATACATATGTATGCATATATGTATGTACATATGCAGTATTGATATAGGCACGTTGCTAAGCTAGCAAGTTAATAAAAAAAAATCAATCGATTTATTAATATATATATATACTCGTATATATAATATATATACACCATGCGATATGTACTATAACTATATTATAACAAATTTGCGAGTTTTGTGCTCTTTTCCATAAAACAAAAAAAAAAACAAAAAAAAAACAAAAAAAAACAACTGATATAACAGATTTGACTATCATTACATACAATATAAATGTATTGTATATGTATATCTTATATATGCTTCTTGCATTCAAAATTGTTTCAAAAGCGTTTCGTATATATGTATGTATTATACATACAAACAGTCATCAAAGAAAGTGCGCTCAAAACAAATATATGATCCTAAGTTATAAGTATGTATATGTATATTTAAATTGTTGATTCCGGACCAAACCAATTACTTTTCTGGCTTCAATCTACATTTGTTCTTCGAATCAAACTTATTTGCCCAATTCCCCACTCCTTATCAATTACCAGGATGTTTTGTTTTAGTTTTATGTTTGTTTGTATGTACTGTACACACATGCATATGTATATGCAACAGATTGCTTCATTTGTTAAATGCAATCGCAACTCCACTTTTGGGGTAATTAGACCAATTGACATATCTGAGCCAACTCTGCGATTTTTCCGTGCTATCAAAGACTTAATGCTGCTTAAATTCGTGCTAAAGAGCCCCAATCCAAAGGGGTTAGGTTTCGAAACTTACGTCTCTAGAAATTATTCACATACAATATAGGTACCCGATTCAAATCGTACAAATCTCGGTGAAATTTGAAACTGAAACTGGCCTCCTCATTCATAAATTTTCATCATTTTTCGACACCTTTGAATACACTCACTTACTAGATTAAGTAACGTATGGACTTGTAAGAAACCTCGAACCGGTTTCCTTGCTTCTTAAAAGTTTAATTTGAAAGAAGAGCAACAAAACAATTAAGACCTGCACCTAAGTCCTTGATGGCACATAAAACTCCTTGCCATAATAATAGTGGTCCAATGGAGCTTTTGTTGCACTGGTCCAGATGGTCAATAGTCTCAAATAAATTATCCAAACGGTTAATTAATATGTTTACAACTCTCTAATAATACTTACAAATATAGACAAATTGTTGTTCATGCTCACAACTAGCCATAGCCAACCCCCAATTCCGAATTGGAAACTATCCAGATAAAGCGCACAGTTTGAGCGCCACTGAGCACTAAGCCAGAGCGGGCTGCTCAAACTGTGTGAAAGCCACTGTGTGGCCGCTTTGAATCGAAGCCAACTTAGTATAATTGAAAACTTTTGTCAATGCCGTTGTTTTCTTTTTCGTTCTTTTTTTCGTATTCATTTTGTTTTTGTTTTGCACTTGTGTTTAATTGCTGCTAATTTCTAAAAGTCAGAAAGAAGCAAAATAAAAACGAAAAGCCAAAGCAACAGGAAAATCGAGAACAGCGACAAAAACTCGCTTACAAATTCAATAAAAAATGCTGCTTGTGACTTATTTTATGTACAAATTAGCAATTAACAATTTATTTAACCCTATTCAGACCAAAAAGCGAATAATAATGAGAATAAAAACTATTTTTACACAAAAGAAAAATTCCAATTAAGAATTTTCTTTCTATATTTCTTGATTTGGTTGTGGATGGGGATGGGGAACCCTTAGTATAAATGCAGCTGGTATAGGAAAAATTAGACAAGAACATGGCTAAAGCACAGCTCGAGCAGAAGTGCGAGTCACGGCTGGCACTGACCAATGTGTTTCGTGTCCTTTACCTGGTAGGATTGCAGATTCCCGAGGATGCTCGCGCCAACCGCAATAGCACCCAGGGGAAACTCTATCGTATATACTCTGTGGTCGTATTAACCTGGCAACTGGTGGTGGTTCCAACAGTTTTCGTGCTCAGTTACAAGTCCACCGGGGATATGGAGATCAGCCAGATACTGACTTCATTACAGGTTTGATTCGATATGTCGTTTATTTTAAGGATTTGCACTCTTAGGGATAACCAAATGCCCAAGTGTTCGTTTAAGCTCAGATTTGGCTCAACGACTATTTGGCTAATAATATCAATCAGACAATTCAAGCTGATTTTTGCTACAGGTCGCTATCAATGCCTGCATATTACCAGGTAAGATTATACCGGTGGCCTATTATTTGCAACGTCTACGAAGTGCCGACACCTTAATGAATGCTTTGGACGCTAGTTGCGAGCAGATGGCAGAGCAGCACAGAATTCTTGACACGGTTCGCACATGCAAACGCATTGTGTGGATCTATATTGCGGTCTATTGGCTCTATTCTTTGTGCACCTGTGTTTGCGGTTTTCTGCTCGGACAGCCTCCTTATTCACTATATATACCGCCGCTCGATTGGCACCGATCCCGCTGGGAGTTCTGTGTGCAGACTATTTTCGATTTCCTAGTCATGGATTGGACATGCTTGCATCAGGCGGTGGATGACTGCTATCCGGTAACCTACATCTATATCGTGCGCACCCACGTACAGCTTCTGGCGCAGCGCATACGCAGCCTGGGCAGGCGCTTGAGCGCGACAGAAGAGGAATCTCTAGTCTCCCTCACTCCGGCAGAACAGGAGGTTCAATATAACAAGCTGGTGCACTGCATTGAGGACCACCAGACACTGCTTCGGTGAGTTCCTGTGCTGGCCTAATCAATAGTTTTAAATCAATTTTGACTTGAAACGCAGCCTTATGGACACCATTAGCCCGGTCATCTCGATAACCATATTCGTGCAGTTCCTCATCACCGCGGCGATTCTTGGCATCACCATGATCAACATCTTCATTTTTGCCGATACGAACTCCCAGATAGCTTCGGGTCTCTATTTCTTGGCCGTCACACTCCAGACCTCGCCTTGCTGCTACCAGGCCACATGTTTGCTCCACGACAGCGAGACGCTCTCTCTCGCCATTTTCCAGTGTCAATGGCTAGGCCAGAGTGCTCGCTTTCGCAAGCTGCTGCTTTTTTTCCTGCATCGCTCCCAACAACCGATAACACTGACGGCTATGAAGCTATTCCCCATCAATTTGGCCACGAATCTAAGCGTAAGATGAACATTTTAAGATTTTCCCGTTTTTTAGCTATTATAAGGACCAGTTTTTGCTTACAGATTGCCAAATTCTCATTTTCGCTCTACACGCTCATTAAGAAAATGAACCTGGGTGAGCGATTTACCAAATAGAATAAGGCTGGCTTCGGAGAAAAAGCAGCAAGCGAAAGCATCCTAGTCGATCTATATTCAATTATAATGTGCCCTTTGTTTTAATAAATGAGATTAAGATTAAGCACAGTATACCATAGCTGCTTCTTATTTGTTTTATTTAAAATTCTATTAGTTCACAAAAGTAACTGAAAATTTGAACTTCAGCGGCTCTGTTCAATGGCCATCAGTGTATGCACACTTATTAAGGGACTAAATATATAGCTACTATCGATGACTTAGAGCTGCCAGACCGTTAGCTTTTATCAATGTTGATACAAGGGCAGAGTGTGGGGCTCACAGTAAGTTCATACAGCAGCATCGAAATAAGTTGAATTAATTAACATTTTGCTCTTCCCGGGGCACGTCCAGCAATAAATACACTTAAGGTTGTACTGAAACGGTAGCGAAACTAAGATGCGTACGGTTGTGCTCTCGTTCGTTTTAAGCTGCCTGTTGTGCATGCCAATGGTGCAATGTGAACAGAATGCAACAAACTTAGCCACCAACGTCACGGCTGCGGCTGCGGCCAACAACAATGCAACTGCAGGTAAAATCTATCAACTTGTTCAGACTCAAGTCAAAGTGTCCAACTCAACGGAGTTTGTGAAGGAGCTGCTGAGTGCGGAGAAGGACAAGCAAAATACCACTGAAAATACGGCGAGAGCACGAACGATTGGCAAGACGGATATTGCGCAGTTGTCCAGCAATGTGTCAACAACAACGACAACAACAAGCACAACAACTACGCAGGCGCCGGCGACTCAAGCTAAAAAAGCCAGCAAGGGCCCGGTTGTAGCTGAAGGCGTTTCGTTGGATGACACAAGTGCTAAAAATCAAACCATTGTGCCGACTTTGAATGCAACAGTCAGCAACAACAACAACACCGACACCAGTAAAAGCAATAGCAGCGTCAGTAGCATACCGCCTACAACCAGCAGCAGCACAACGAACACAACTATTAGCAGCAACAGTAGCTCAGCTCCAACTGCCAACGCGACAACAAGCACTACAATAAGCTCCACCAGCACATCCACAACGACTACGACAATAACTACTACGTCTTCGACAACGACAACCACAACCACACCACGTCCCACAAAGCCCAAGATATTATATGGAACGGGCGTGCATCCAGAATGGGAAGAGAAAAATGCGGAAAAGTCGGCGACACTACAAAAACCACAGGCGGGGTCTTCATCATCGAGTCAAACAGGTGCCGCTCCATCACCAGTTCTCCCCGAACCGGAACCGCCGCTGGCGCAGCCCTCGCAGGAGCTGAGCAGCAGCAGCCAGCTTGTTAATCGCGGCAGCAATGAGTACATTGTGCCTATTGTGACAGTCCTTCTGACCGTGCCACTCGCCATTGGCGTAATCATTACCATGTATCGTCGCTTCCGGGACTTCTGGTCCACTCGCCATTATAGACGCATGGATTTCTTGGTCGATGGCATGTACAATGACTGACGAAGATGCCAAGTAAGTGTACGAAGTGATTGTGGAGGCGGGTGTGTCAACGATGCGCTCCTGCCCTAAGGAGCAACAGAAATTGCAAGAAACTTCGCAGATGCGATCATCATTATTATTGATTTTATTCGTTATTTATTGGTTTTTATTGCTTTCGCTCTGCATAAAATGCGAGCAACGGTGAAATATGGAGAGAAGTGGAATGTCAAATGTTGGTGCGGAGAAAAAGAAAGAAAGCGAGAGAGAGATAGCGCATAAATTGCTCAGTCAATTAAAAATCACAAATATATTAGCAAAATTGAAGCTTTCAAACGTGAATATGTATTTGCTAAGAACATATACTAGCGGCCAAATTGAATTAGTTTTACGAATTTTATATTAGCTTATAAAAAATGTTGTGCTAGCAAATGTGAAAGATTATAAAATTCTATGCCGAGACAAATGATTAATTTGCCCTCTTTATGAAATGAAATATGAAATGTCTCTGCATGGTTAACAATCGACAGTAAATATATTTAATATTATGCTCGAAAACCAACACTGATAATAATATAAATATTCTTAAGCATTTCGGTTTACATAAACATTTTAAGTGACTCGATTCCAATAAGCATTTGTTGCCAAGTTTGAAAAAACCTAATCAATTATTTGTAATTTCTTCAAAATGAATTCGAAAGCACATGCACGCCGGCAGGTTTTTGATTACAACAAATATACAAAATCAAAACCAGAAAAAGTCAACACTCGAACATATATACATACATACAGATGTGTATATAGTTACAGCGCAATTAGCAATCAATCATATAAACACTATATGTACACTCTATGACCATAAAGTGCCTTAGAATCTGTTTAATACTATACTCTATATATGCGCTTGCATGCAACAAATGTTTGAGTGTCTGCAAATGTGCATATATAGAACAAACGAAGACTTTTAAATGATCGATACATGTAAAAGTATTTAGCAGAGCATCTTATTTATGCCTCATTAAAATAAAACCGAAAACCAGAGCATCAGCATCAGTAGCATCAGCAAACAAACCAAAAAGCAATTTTGCAAATGGCCTGAAGAGTTATTACAAAAAAAGGAAAAAGAATACTAATAATAAGAACAAGAAAAGCAAAGCGCATTTATTGCATGATAATTTGTTATATGTATATACATATGTGTATGAAACAATAATACACAATAAAGCAAATTCATCGGAATGTGAATATATACATATATACATATACAATACTTCCCCCCTTTTTATTATTCATTCTTTGTGGCGTTGCAGACAACTATTCAGAGTCTGCTGCAGTTGGAAGACGCAACAACAGCATGAAACGTGAAGCGAGCGGCTGCTGCTGTTATTGTTGTTGTACTATACATACATATATGTATTTATGTGCATATGTATGGAGATTTCCCAAAAAATGTTTTGTGCATTGCTGAGCATGTATGAACGGAACTATAAAATTACACGTTTGTAATACGCCAAGCAATTGGGCATTTCTTTCCTCCATTCGGCCGTATCGAATGGGCCAATAAAATCATTGGTGATCCAACAGACGAATTTTGTGCATGCGTCCAATTTAGCAGGAGTTTCCAATTTGAATTGAAAGATGAAAGGAAAGATCCCTGCAGAATTCAAGCTAGACACTAAAAATTTGTTTGTCTAAACAAATGCCTTGCGGTATTTATAGGGCATAAGCTGAAGTTTGATCAAAATCGGTGAACTATATAGCTGCCATAGAAATTATTAGCACAGCAACGATTTTTTATTGAAAATAGATCGAAAAGGCAAAAAGATCTAATAGCTGCTGACACCTAGCCGCAATTTAATTCTCAGACTGGCCAATAAAATACATATGTATGTGTGTACTAGACAGCTGCACGAATGGCAAAAAAAAAAACACATTCGAATGCACAATGCTCAAAATGAGTTGAGTGCATTAGAATGCAAAGGCAAACTGATATGAATGAATGAGTATACACACGTACAACTCAGTCGCACTCAGTCGAAACGTAGAAAAACGAATTGAGTGGAGTGAGAATACGAAAAACTTAGACGTAGTTCTCGAATGATTCGAATGACAAACCGGTAAAGAAGAAAGAAAAACTGTAGTCAATGGAATGGTTGATATTTATATTTTCATTTGGATTTATTTTACTTATTACTAACATAACAACATATTTTTTTATATTAGAATTTAAAAACATTATCTGGTTAATTTTGTCAGGATTGGTGGATAATAGACAACAGCAATTTCGAATATTTTCCCGCAATCTCATTTCAAAAACAACCAGCTTTGACGGGAAAAAAGCCAAATTGGCAACACTTTATGAGACACAAGACGCACTCATATTCATACAAATTCATTACATTTTCCATGTTCCACTGACTCAACTCAATTCAATTCGATTCCATTCTTTTCAACGTACCTTATGAGTGAAGTGAAGCCATGCAGCTGCGTAGTATGTACATACAAACGAGTGCGAACTCTTCAATTCATAGACACTCTAAACTTAAATTCTTTGGGAATTACTTTTCAAAGCCCATTGGAAAATTAATACACATTTGTGTGCAAATTATTTGCATGTCCGTAACTTAAGTAACTTAAGTAGTCTTCAAAGAGACAAACTACCAATGACAGGTTATATGTAAACATTCGATTGTTTCCAACAAATACAAGTATGAAGTTGCTTTTTTACTTGAAGCGAATTATAGATTTATATTTAGAGGTGCCTTTATTGGTAGGCCAGAAATGAATCGTAATTGTAATAGAATTCGTTCTCTCGTACTACAAGTATTACTCACTCGAATGACTTGCAAATGTGTGCCATATATTGGGTTTGTGGGCTTTCGGCTGCCCCGAATGTCAAATTGTTTAGATTTTGAACTTTGCCAGGAATGGTTCGGCAATGCATATGTCGATATAGACGCCGCACATCTTAATGCCTTTGACAAGCCCCCAAAATGAGGGCCACTGATTAAGACAAATGTCCAACAAGGCGCGATAAAGCATGCAACATCCCAACCCACTTCACTACTAAAAAACGCTTTAGTCTGTTTCCGAGGTGGAGAAGGGGGAGAACGGAGCGCCGGCGACTGCTGCTGGGCGTATATTGTGGAGTGGTTTATAAATTATCTCCATGGGTTTTTCGTAGTTCGTTTGTAATAATTTAAACAAGAAAATCACATACACACACAAATGTTCTCAATGCCTTGTGGATTTTCTTTAGACGGATACAATTCTCTTTTAATGTTCTTTTTTGCTTTTGGGCAACGGCAACGTGTGAAAAACAAAAAGATTCGAACAGCGGCATCGGCTCGGCATCGTTGAGTTTTCGAACGATTTGTGGATTTCTCCATTCACTTGAAAATGTGCGTTGAAGGCGTTCAGTGCTCGCCGTGGTCGTTGTAGTTGTCGCTGTCGCTGTGACTATCGCTGTCGTCCATAATAGTCGCGTCCATTGCCACTGCCCTGCCATTGGGAGTCCCATGCACGCCCCCTCATTCACCAAAATGCATCCAGCCTCGCCGCATATGCATCGCACAAGGATTAATATAAATGCGCCCGCTGCGGCCCAACCGCCAGAGCCTTTCCAGCTAACGGATCTGCGTAGTGCCCAGCAACATCATCATCATCAGCAGCAACAGCAGCAGCAGCAGCAGCAACAACAACAACAACATACCTCAACCACATATCAGGGCCTGAAAACATGTAAGCACAATAAACACTTTATGGACACTTTTGCGGCCCACAAAGGATTAAGGGGTCACCAAATGGTTATCATCCACTAGTTGGCCGCGAGCAGCTGAAATGGCTAGGATTTTATTGGGAATGAAATCCCCAATTTTAGCAAAACAAATTTAGCCTAAATAATCGACAACCTCTATGGAAAGGAAGGGCCGATCTGAGACGACTCTCCAATAATCGGTACAAACTTTAATTTCTATACCTGGAGGTCTTTAAATTGTCTTTTTTCGGCAGATGCAACGATTATCATTTTATCGAAGAATTTATCCAGTTCAGCAGATCAAGTTTATATCTAAATATCGGCTAAGCAATAGACAGCTTCTATGAAAAAGAAAGATTAGCTATCGCCGAATACTTAAATGTTCCTTCCAAAAACATTATCTATTTTTGTGGAATCAGAGTATTTTATTAGAATTCTAATATGTAAGGCTAGGCTGTATAACAACCATACATGTGTTTCCAATGGGTTAAAATGGATCAGTTTAAGGACTTTTCACAAAATCAACAAATAAGAAACAGCAGGAGGGTTCCTTAAAAATAATCAGGTCTGTTCTTAAATATTTAATTAAATTATGCGTTCTAATTGAGAATTATCTTCCATTTTGGAAAACTTTTTCTAATAACACAATTTATCCATTTCTTTTAAATTCAAAAACGGCAATAGGTATGATTTATTTATTTTTGTAAGTTGTAAGATTTTAAATCTCTTATCAAGACTGTTTAGGCATTAATATTCTTGTTCCCATTAGTTCGTGTTAGGGTTAAATTAAAATCTGCACAGATCAAAGGTTTTATTTGTTTGTTTACCACATACATATAACGTTTGGAAATAGTTTATAGTGTAGATCATAAACTATGTATATCACTGCAAACTGTGTAATAATTTCATAATTTTGCCATTAGATGTCTTCAAATATTTCGCAAAATGTAAATAATTGTGGATAACCTAATTCTAAGAAAGCAATGTGGAGGCAACAATCTGATTAAAAAAAGGAAATATGTTTCCACTGAACATTTAGTAGAAAACTCTATAGGGGGAGAATTAAACTTTGCATTCAATACGTTTAGTGCTGAACTTTTTATATAGAAATGATCTTATTCATTTTTAAAGGGTTTCCTAGGTAGAGAAGATAGCTTTTCTGAGTAACTGTACTGATAATAATGTATAGCTTCTAAGTCGAAATGAGTTCCAAATCGCTTAAAAGGTACAAGTTGTGAAAAAGTGAAAAGAAACTACAAATTCGAAATTTAATTTCAATTCTATTATTATGTTCTCCTCCTTCACTTGGGCCTTATTTTTCTGATCTAGCGCATACTTTCAGCCGATTTATAATGGATGCATTATACTCGCAATAACATAATTAATATGCGAGGTGAGCCGAAAAATGATTCATAAAACATATATACAAATATCTATACATATGTACATATGTGTGGGCCATATTGAATTGTTGAGATCGTGACGATCGCGACCACCTATGAAGTATGCAATATAAACTGTTTGCCGAGATCGACAAGTAAAAATAAATAGAACACGCGTCCGCAGGCAGTACGCTCCGAAGTTCGCCGCATCGGCATATGAACCGGTTTGATCCGTGATATAAATCGTATTGTCGAAACTTATAACATAAACAAAACTGTAAAAACTCGACATAAACAGTTGAATTCCGATTTGGGCCTATGTTCACACACAGGCCAATTGATTCGAAAATAGTTGGGGCCGCCTTTTCCTAGGTGAGCCAAAAAAAGAAGGCAACAAAAAACAGATATTTTAAACAATAAACAAATGCCAGCATGCCTGGCAACTAGTACATAAATAGGCTGCTATATGCTATACTAAGTATATGAGTACGTACCTACAAAATAAAAATTGATTTTCTTCAATCTCGATCTATAAAAAGTAAATTTGTTTGGAATCTTTTCATTTCCTACTATAAATAGTGAGTTCGCTTTGAAAGCTAATGAGGCAGAGAGACGCGCGGCTACTCTGTATTATCTGTGGAGATTGGGTCCACACTTTAAAGGCGTACACTATTCTTCATTGAAAATAGACCACAGTATTAGTTAACATTATTTTAAAATACCTATATCGAAATTAAGAAGAAGGAAAGTTGAGTTACAGGCTCACATTGTGAGAACAGTGCTTATTGCACTCGGCATAGGAAGCTTTATAATTATTAAAAAAAAACCTTTAACAACTTACGCAAATGCGAATAAACTCTATTTCCAGACCCCATATTAGGAACACCAAAACTTGGAATATACACTTGTCTCGTCTATATGCAGAGCAAGTTTATTATAAAACCGTAGGACTTAACGGTGGGAAAATCCACAAAATAAAGTTCATTTAACTGATAAGTTCAATATATCTATGATGCTCTGGGTAACGATGTAACATACAGAAATTAACAGAATATTATCCGTTGAAGTTTTCTACTATTCTACGTAGGGAGTATTAGTATGTTCAAGATTTTGCTATCAATCCAAAAATTAAACAAGGACCAGCAATGTTTTTGGAGCTGCTGGTCCAAAGGCCTTTTCGTAGCAGTAATGTGTTTTATGTGTGGACAGAAATGTAGGACACAAGACCCAAATGTGTGATATATTACTGCCAGTACCAGTGAGAAATCAATCGCTTGTCTGTCAATCTGTAATCGCGGAGCAGACGGAAGTCCGAAAAGTAGCATAACAATCGAATGGGCCAAGTTATAGCAATTTCTTTCCTGGGGGGGCAGTTGCGTCGTTTTTCTTTGAAGTGGGCGCAACAGATACATATGTCTAGGGGAAATAAAAATACGAAAATCGGCAGCAACAAGTGCCCGTACCCAAGAAGAAACTGCAGCTGTGCGAAATATGCCATATGTGGAAGATGAAGACCGATACCCCGAACTGGTCCGCTCCGCACCTTGTACCTCCATAAATGTCTTCTTCAATTGCTTTTTTCAATTGCTTGTAAAATTTGCTATGCACATACATATAAGCGTTAAAGTTTATGAACGACTCATCCACACTCTTCCCCCTCCCCCTCTTGTGCTATCTTACAGCTGAAAACGATGACATGGGCTGTGTGGAGATCTTGGCCACTGCCATATCAGTGCTCATTATGGTGCTGACGTTCCCCATCTCAGTGTTCATCTGCTTTAAAGTCGTCTCTGAATACGAACGTGCCGTCATCTTTCGAATGGGTCGCCTGCGTAGCGGCGGGGCCCGAGGTCCGGGCGTTTTTTTCGTACTGCCCTGCGTGGATGACTATTGTAAGGTGGACCTGCGCACCGTCTCCTTCGATGTGCCGCCACAGGAGGTGCTGTCCAAGGATTCGGTGACAGTGACTGTGGACGCTGTGGTGTATTATCGCATCAGTGATCCCCTAAAGGCGGTCATTCAGGTGTCCAACTACAGCCACTCAACCCGCCTACTCGCCGCCACCACGCTCCGGAACGTCCTTGGCACCCGCAATCTCTCCGAGCTGCTAACGGAACGCGAGACCATCTCACACACCATGCAAATGTCCCTCGACGAGGCCACCGATCCCTGGGGCGTCAAGGTGGAGCGTGTGGAAATGTAAGTACCATGAGCATCCCTCTTAAAAAAACCAATAAGTTAACCTAATTATACGACTATCTTGGTCCTGACCTTATATTCTGATTGATGGAACTTGCCTTAGTGCAAGCATTTGAATTTAAGCTTAAATCAAAATAGGGAAATAGGAAACATTAAAACAAGTCGACATTAAAACAAATCTCATTTTAACTACTTAAACAAATAAAATATCTCAAACAAGAGTAGAGTATCTTGAATCTAAGTTTATATTTTTAAGTTGTGAAATAGATTCCTAAAAGTCCCTTTGCATGTGATATACATACATATGTATGTACATACCTACCTATAGGCCACGATAAGGAACACGTCATCTTCATTGATACACAGTTAAAATGATAATAATATAACCCAATAATATAAATAAAAAATAATCATATTAGGTCAATGGGTCCTTATAATCCTTATAATCATGGGCACTTTGATTTATTTTAATTATATGTATGTATGTATACATATGTACGAGTGTGTACACTTTGATTTATTATAATTATATATACATATATGTATATATAAACATATGTATATACATACTCGTACATACATACATATATGCACTCAATTTACCTCTCTAGAATATAATGTTTTAAGAACTGCAGAGCTTTCGGTAAAAAATATTACTAATTAGTAAGGTTATGAGTAAATGTCCTGCAATTATATTTCCAGTTAATCGTACAGCGCAGACTACTTATGTATGTATATTGCAGTAAGAGACAATAACTGTCATTCTCCTGGAGCATACTTTGTTACAGCTTTAATCGTTTTGCAGGCATATCCCAAATAAAAGAATTGCTTACAACAACAGCAACTAATTGAGTTTTGGTGCAGTTCGATAGACGATCATTTCTTAGGGTTGCCGTATGGATGTGAAACTTAATGAAAGCATTCAATAAATGCTTTTTCTTTTCATTGCATTGTTACGAATTTTTATTGTATAGTATTTAAATATCATGTGCTTGTCAAAAATGTCCTTAATATTATTTTTTCGTGCAGGCGCCCGCTTATCGATGGTAACTCTTTTCAAAACGACTGACATGCACAGAGCACAATCATATATTTATATGATATATATTTATGTACATATATGTATGTCCATATGTACATATTTGCAATTGCATATTCTACTTACTTTGAATATTTTGTACCTTCCTCTTGCCTCAAGCGCTGAAATTTCCAATACAAACGACATGTTCACAAGTCTTACAAATGTGAGGCACAAATAAATAAAAACAGCTGTTTCTGGCGTTAAACAGACCAAGAACAATCCGAAAATTAAACATACATACATACATACATGTGTACATATCGATTACAACACTTGGTGGATGTCGGCGCGCTAACAAATGCAAACGCGTGATTTCAGCCAAGACGCAAACGTTTGTGGAAATGGTTAATACGTCTAGCAGGTTTTCTTAGGAAACTACTCGTAAATGAAATGCGATCATGCATTTTAAAAATGTTTACTTGTTATTTTATATGTTGTCTTACTTTTTATTTCTATACTATCTACCCTATTGCTTAGAATTACTTAGGTCCCAAGAATATCCTTGACTATCTTATGTTGTGAATGGTCGCACATCCAAAGGACTGTGCGCCTCTGAACAGTCGCCAACAAATCGGAGCGTTGTTAGTTTTTTAAATACTTACCTACTATCATAAAATTTACTTTAAATACTTTGATTTTGTGAGTGTTAAGACCATAAATACATACATACTATGTACATACATAGATATTACATACATACATATGTACAATGTATTACCGACACATAAAATATAAAGATATGTAGAATGAGAGTAAATTTTATCCGGGCTCTTTAAATGTCTATCCAGTAGTAAAACAATTGGTGACCACCTTCTTTAATTGCAGCAAGGATGTGTCGTTGCCCACGGCATTGCAACGCGCCATGGCCGCAGAGGCGGAGGCGGCACGTGAGGCACGCGCCAAGGTTATTGCAGCCGAGGGTGAAATGAAATCCTCACGAGCACTTAAGGAGGCCTCCGAGATCATCTCGGCCAGTCCATCGGCTCTGCAGCTGCGCTATCTGCAAACACTGAGCAGCATTTCGGCCGAGAAGAATTCGACAATTATCTTTCCACTGCCCATGGAGCTTCTGACACCCTTTCTCAACTCGTCCGCAAATCTATCAGCTGCTGCTGCCCTCCACCCACCCCCTGCGCATCGACATCAGCACCATCAGTGACGGTCGATGTCGGTGCTGCAGCCATATCTGGAGGCACTGCGTCTCTGCGAGCTGCGGCACGAGTGGAATAACAGTAATGACCATGGCGATGATGATGATGGTGTGGGCTATTTATTGTAAGTTGAGCGGCATTTCTTCTTTTTTTTCACTTAGCATAATTTTGTGTTACACAACTATTGTTCATATTTGAATGTTACGAATAAACCAATATACCAATTGAAAAACTTGTGTAGTTTGTTAAACTGCAAAATAAAGATCATAGTATAGTAAGTACTTGTATGTACATATTATGCGTTCACTTGACCCAGAACACAGAAAACGGTTCACATTTTTTGGACAACTACTGGGCTGTTTATTATCGAGTCTTCAGATTTTCTGCTGATAAACGTCTTCACAGCAAATCAAATGTACAAGTGTTAAATAAAGCGAAACAAAATATGATAAGCTCACACCCTTTAGTTAGTACAAGATACAAATACAAGACATTTTGTTAATCGCTTGCCACAATGCGAGAAATAAAGAAAAACGTTTTGCTCCATTTAGAAGGTCCTCATATCATCCGTTTCTAATATCGATTAACACTGTTCGAAAATTAAAAGTTTTATATATGGTTAAACGACTATTCCATTTAGAACGATTGAAAATAACACAAAATAAATAAATAACTAGATGAAACGCTACAGTCGAGCCAGCCCGACAGTGTAATACCCTGCACCCAGACAAATTTCCGGGACTGAGTTATATGCGCCCATAACAGAAGCAAAAAGAAGAATGGGAAGAACGAACTTGATGCTGCAGTTTGTGGGCGTTGTAGTGGAGTGAAATTGTTTCGCTAATAAGTTTTCTTAGAATTGATCGGATGAAATTTCACACAAAACTATAGAATTGTATATAGATTATGTGCGCAAAGTTTGGTTAATGTAGCTTTTGCAATATGGACAAAAAAAAATGAAATAAACTCGTCCTTCCTCGGACCTAGGAGAATCTGGATACCAACCTTGGTTATTCCAGCTTTTATAGATCCTTGCGTTCATCCAGACAGACGGACATGTCTAGATCGATTCGTCGCGTCTCGTCTCTCTGATTAAGAATATATGTATATACTTTATGGGGTCGGAGATGCTTCCTTCTGCCTGTTACATAATTTGCACAAACCTAATATACCCTTTTTACCCTACAGTTGCAGGGTATAAAAATACACACAGCTGTCAAACAGCTACAAATTATTCTTATATGGGTCGTTATATTGTACATGTGATTTAATAAAATAAACATAAATCCTGGTTTTTCACTGATTTTAATAAGTTTAGAGACCCATTTTTGCATATGATAAATGTCTTTATGTACACGGTTTATTTCTGGAACCAATGCAACCGTGCAAAAACAGAATTAGGTCTACTTACTGTTTGTATAGGTCTTCATTCGAAAGCAAACACAATTTGAAATGTATTTACATTTATAGTACGAGCGCGTAGCGTTTTTATTTCTATATACTTGTATGCTCAAAGGTACGAAATACATTGAACTGTTTGTTTGTTTGTATAAATCTGCAATTCTATTTGCTGATGTTTTTTTCTCTCTATAGTATGTTGTAAAGTGTGAATGTTTGTGTGTCTGTGTCTGTGTGTGTGTGTTAAGTAACTTACATATGACGAACGTTGGGATCGAGACATGCAATTTATAAATTAGAGCAAGAAAGTGGACGAAACAACTGAAAATGAAATGCAAACATTTGCATTGTTCCTTGGACTTTTCCATTTTTATTTAAATTGTGCTGCACTGACTATTCAGCTTTTCCACTTTGCTGGAATTCTTTTTTCGAATCTTTACAGGGCCATTGGCCGGCCAGCTAAATGATATTTATGTTCATGTTGGCCCTTTGAAACCTCGTGAGCTTAACGGTATTCAAATAAATAATCCGGACGAATATCTTCCAAGCACAACATGTTCAAAAACTGCTGCTCTATATTAACGCAATAAGGCCAATTTTGTAAAAGTATTGGAACTTGAAAAACGGCTCACATTTTTATGGTTATCGAAATAATTTATGAATAAAATAGAGCAGCGCTTTTTTAAAAATTAAACAAATTACATATTTTCCATTTAAATTACATGTTAAACAGTTAAACAGTTATTAACAATCTATTGATTAGTATAAAGGGTTTCTGTGTTCTTTTTATAGATATTTATGATCATTTCTTTTGTAGTTACTTTTCGGTAATTGTTAATAATTTTGTTCATATGCCTAGCTAAAAATTGAATCAAACAGCGATTTGTTTTCTGTTTTTTTTTTTTTTTTGTATATTTTTCGGTTTGTTTGTCTATTTTTTGTGTTTTTACTTTGCTAGTTTTACATTTTAATTGATAATTTTGATTGCAAAAAAGAACGCACACACTCACAATTAATACACACATAGACCAACAATGGGCGGGTTAAGGGGGTCAATATAATAACCTTTGCATGTAAGTATGTAGATAGAGAGATAGATACTTGTAGGTAGGTAGGTAGGGTAGGGTGCTATGTACTTATTTGGTAATAAAAAACATACAACATTTACAATGGGTTTACAAACTAGCCAGTGGAACACTCTCGTTACCTTCGTCCTTTCATCATCCCCACGTCCTTAAGCTAGTGACGAAATACCAAAAGGAAAACATTGAAAGCGTGGAAAACTTGAGCTCTACCACAGAATAATGTATATTTCTTTGACATTGTATAATCGAATATATGTATATTTTGAAACAGTAGTTGAAAAGTTTCCATCCATTTAATAAGTTACCTTAAAACGCTTGAGTCTAGCCTAATTTCAAAAAGAATAGATGTATATGTATATGTAGATCAATTTATAATTTTGGCAACATGTGTGCTTTAGATTTGACATGCAAAATTGTTCATCGAATATCAAATAAGTAATTGAAGAATTTTGGTTAGTGCTTTGGCTATTGGAGAGCTAAATTTAGAAAGGGGTTCTCACTTGTCAATTAAATGAAAGATGGGGAACATCCTGCATGGCTGGTCCTTCAGTCTGTCTGTTCATTCTCTTCAACTTCAATATTGCTGATGAGGTGTTTTCGGTACGCATTTTCCATGCTTTCACTCTGGGCTTTCGTCACTAGCTTCTAACCTCTTTCGTAGCATTTTCATGCAGCACCAAAAAGTATGCAATGGCATTTTTATGCGCACGCACCGGCACAGTGGTGGGCCGCAATTTGTTTTCGCAATTGGCCTAAAACGCATTTTCTTCACACATACACAGACTTTATATATCTACGATATTTGCAATATTTTCGAGCATACACATACATACATAAGCATGCACACGCATTTAACGATTTGTAATTGTTGTTCTTTTTTGTTTTTGTTTTTGTTTTCGTTTTGTAGCTTTTCTTTTACAATCGTGTAACTTTGTTATTGTTGTTGTTCTTGTTGTTGCTCTAGTAATCTTAATTGTTAAATGTAATAAAAAAATACATTTCGTCATAATCGTCATTTCGTCATTATGAACTGGATCTAGCATAATGCATAATATAATTATAATATAGTTTTTCTTTTCGCAATTAGACTAAACCGTTTGTATATATTCTTAGCTTGTATAATACATACCTATAATATAATATATATTTATGTATATATATAAATTGTCTACCATTTTGTTAGCTGTAACAACGCGACGCGCAAAATAATGTATTTGGTTTACCTTTTCCTTAAATAATAATATTCGAATAAATATTATTTTCTGCCGATCCGTCGAACTGAAATTGACACTAAAGTTGGATAGTCTATTATCACAAAAGTGAAATAAAAGTGGCCAATACATATTTCCAAATCCATTTCCACTCTTGAGTAAATCACTTCAAACTAATTAATTCAGCTCTGCTGTACAATATATTTTTTATTGTTTCCAATTCGGCACTTCTCTGGAAACTGGTTTTTTAAATTTACATCTAACAATATCGAAATCATTATCGAAAATAAAATAAAAAGTTTTTTAGATCGTATTTTAATTTATCGGATTTGAAATGCAAGTCAAAAAACGGCTGCTACATTTTATGTTGCCTTTCAGTCAGTAGAATTCAAAAATGTTATGCAGTGTTTTTTTGAAACTGGCTATAATTTTCTCTCAGTTGCCAAATTTAAAAATATACGAATACTGAAATGTTAACTGGGATAGAAACGGCACGCTTTCCACATGGAAAGAACAATATACATACTTTGCCGGAATGGCAGCCGATTCTATCTGGTTAAAAAGTATATCATATAGCATCCAATTAAAGGTAGCTTTAGAAAGATAAAATACTGTCTGGATCACTCTGTTCCGAACACTTTGTTCCCTTTGAGCTTCGGAACCACCATAATGATATGATTGATATTTTACAATATGGCAAATATGGGGGTTGATATGATATAGTACTCGTATAGGAAATTGTAAAATCAAAATATATATAATAAGGCATTAAATAATAAGATCAGATCAGATTCTGTGTGAATTAGCCAACTTTAGTGTCACTTTCAATTTGAATAGCAATTCAAATGTCAACTATAATGCTTTGGTTTTCCGTTTTACGTTTCTAATGTTTTGGGGGGTTTCCTTATTTTTTGTTTTCCATTTTTGGTATTGCCTAAAAATATACATATCTAATAATACTCAAAAACACAAGTCTAATCATTGTCCCACGTCGTCATTGACCGCTGCCGTTGCTGCTGATGTGGATTCCGATTTAGATCCAGATCCACTTCATAGCCAACGGTCACACCCGCGCGGCCCTCACACGGCCGTCTCGTGATCAGTCTCGTCAATCCGTCCCAAGCGCCATGAATTGGGATCCCCGGCTGCAAAGAGAGGTGGAAGGAGCGCGAAATGGAGAGTTCATTAGCATTGATTGGGAGCGGTCGGAGGTGGCGAGGACGACGACGACGGCGACGACAACAAGAAAACGAAACCAAAAACTCATTACAATTTACAAAAGATTTACATACTATGTATATGTCTATAAAACACAGGAAATACAACTACACGTACGCAACACTACTTGCAGTAACGGCCGATAATAAAATATGTATATATATTAACTATATAGTGTAAGATATATATGTTTAAGGGGCGCGGCAAACGAGCAACAAGAAATCAAAGAACATGCACGCAACACAAAGGCAACAACTACTATGTATACGGACGGAACGTGCACGCGACACACACACACACACACACACACACGCACACACACACACAACATATATTAATATATATACATATGTATATATGCATATCGTATGTACATATAGTATATATATATATATATATATATATATGTAGATATATGTATAAATGGATTGCAATCAGTTGCTGTGCTTGTTCCTTGTTGCGATCGGATTGACGCTAAAATTGAAAACTTACCACAATCATAATACTTCGATATCCTGGGCAGAGCTATAGACCCAATTGTAGTAGTAGTTGTTGTTGTTGTTGTATAGGTGGTTTTGTTGTTGTTGTTTCGTGGTGGTGGTAGTTGTAGTGGTGTTGTTGGTGGTGGTTAAACGTTTATGAACGAGATATACGACGGTTTACATACGAAAATTATAGAATACCAAAAATAGAAAATCAAATTCATAAATTTATTCTGGGCTTTTCATTTTCATTTATAATTTCAACTGAAAATCAAATGAATTGGGATAATTATACAGAGATGTTTAATGAACAACATCAACACTATTGTGATAACATCAAGGGGGCGGAGTGGGGGGTTCGGGGAAGTGGTCGTCACGAGTCACGCTTCGGGTTAAGTGTGCAAGTTAAGATGAAGAGCGTGAGCGGAACAGAGTGCGGCCGAGAGAGAGAGACAGAGTGAGATAGAGCGACACAGAGAGAAAGAGAGAGGGAGAGTTGAACTGTGAAAAGTGGTCTGCTTGTTGATACATGTCTATATATATTTAGCTGGATTTGATGATCTCAAAGCAACAAAACTTCAATATCTAATCTGCATTCATGTTCTACGAAAAAGATTTCTGAATATTATGCACTATTTTCTAAAGAAAAAAAATATACTTGTATTTCAGTTCAAAAAGCCGAGCGATTCCAGCTTAAGTGCTATATATCCCTATCGCCCATCGTTGCCATGGCAGCTACAAGTATATAGTGCACCAAAATTGTTCAAAACTTACGTTCTTCATTTTGAGACTATGAACGTATATAATTTGTAATTGTAACTCGAAAGATCGGACACATTAATCCACACATATTTCAAATCATACATAATATTCTACATATTCTCCTTCTCAGTAAATTTTAAAATCATTTTTCAGACCTACATTGAAGTATAATGTTATGTGCTGAAGTAACTTACCAAAATTGCTTGCCAAATATTTGAATTGGAAAGTACAATTATTTAACAAATTATAAAACATGAGCAATCATTTGAGGAAAACTGTGACGACTTACAATTCATAGAAGATAGTAATAGTAGATTGTAACAAATTCAGATTTTAAATTCTGAGTATCTAAGATTAAGAAAAGCATTTCTTAGGTCAAGAACAACATTTTCTGAATTTAAGGGAAATCATTTTTACAAGTTTCGCAGCTAATAAAAAAAATGTAAAAATGTTTTTTTTTTACTATTTTTTCTAAAAATTACCTATATTTATCACTCAATTTGGTTTTTACAAGTATACGGCATTCTGGACCGGTCTTATATATGTTTTTTCCTAAAATGCAAGACCTAATGTCGGTTCTCCGTTCACTCGTAAATGTTGGGGTTGTTTGTGTTGTTTTCCAGAAGTTTTGATATCAAGTACTGCTCACACGTTAGGTCATTGACCTGCCAGTTGGACGTACAGCATCGGCTTACGCGTTGCATGTTTTGCTGTGAAAGTTCCTCTGAAAGTTTTCCCACAACTTGGCAATAAAATGTGTCGGAAACAGAAATCCAAAGCAAACAGATCCCATTCCAAATACTCGTCATTCAAATGAATTGAGGAAAACCAACAAACAAAGCAAACACGACGCAGACACCTAAGCCATTGTTGTTGTTGTTGTTGTTTGCACATTCGCAGTGAATAGGCATTGTTTTCTTTATTTATTTATTAATTGCACTTAAGCCCAATATGCCGAGCATTAGCGGAATCGGTCAAGGTGCCGACTAGTCGATGCCGATGCCGATGGCGATGGCGTCCGAGGTGGTGTTGTTCGATGGTCGAGTTAATAAATTAACGACAGCGGCTGCACTTTGTGTGTAAATTTATGGGCATCGGGCGTTATTTACAGCAACTGCTATTTGCACTAATTGCTGACGCAAAGCAGTACCAGCAGCAACAACAACAATATTTGACTATCAATATCGCGCCTCAAAAAAAGAAAATACAAACAACAATTTGCAGTAAACTGAAACAAAAAATAAATAAACAGCAGAGAGAGAGAGCTCTCCACAATATGCCGAAGCTCGGGTTCCCTATTATTTTACATGATAGCGCTGCAAAGTGCTCGTCTCTTTAAACATTACTCATACGCCGCATGGTACATTGGTGAGCTAATTATTCATTTAATTCAGATTCGTGTGCAAATTATTTCAACTTCTGACCATATCTCAAGAGACGCCTCCACAGCTCACAGCTTCTGTAGCCACATTCAGATTTGAAAGGAACATAAATTCAAATTTAAGGGTAATATTGCGAGAAATCCTACCATCTCTGATCTTGAAATATTGCTCATACGCCGCATGGTACATTGGCGAGCTAATTATTAAATTAATTTAGAGTTCTGTGCAAATTATTTCAACTTCTGACCATATCTCAAGAGACGCCTCCACAGCTCACAGCTTCCGTAGCCACATTCAGATTTGAAAGGAACATAAATTCACATTTAAGGGTAATATTGCGAGAAGTCCTACCATCTCTGCTCACCACTTCTGCCATTATTTTCTAGTCCCCTATCCAGTGAGTAAAATGCTTATAGCTGACGCCACCCTCTATAAACGCATCCCAGTCTTCCAAAATCCCTCTTATAAATAAGTATGCAAGTAAAAGCGCTTGGATTACTTTTTTCCTTCAAAATGGCCTGAATACTTGTATGTCACACATGTCAGTTATCTAAAAAAGTAATTGAAACACCAACAAATATAAAATATATAGAGATCTTTTCAGCCTTCGGTCTACTTTCGATGTTGAGCAAGGACGACGTTAAACGTAACCTCCATAAGCTGTGATTAGTTTATATTTTCATAAAAATACCAGAGAATTATTGTATTGATTTCTTTCAGCATCTTAAAGAACGTTAACTCAATGACAATGATAACTTTCAGCAGTTTTCGGCTTTATAAATAGAGACAATATACTAAGTATATCGCTAATTAACTTGTCATGTTCGCTAATATAACTGCGCAAGATTATGAATTAAGATATTCGATTATTTATAATGGCGAAATATTTACACGTGGATGGTTTCAAAAGCCATGCCTTTCCTCTAAGAGAGATTCGTTCCTTGAGAGGGTAAGATAATTGGCAGATGTAAGTAACTAGAAAGTAGTGGAGAAAAATTGCTACAAATATCAAGATTTGTTTCCATAAACTGACTGATTTAATTTGAATTCTTTTGGAAAAAATCGATTTCGCTTAAACACAAATGTCGCTCGTTAAGATCGATAACTTATAAAAAAAAACCTCTGCGTTAAATAAAGTCTGATTGATTTAACCTTCGACTTAGTTTTTAGTTGGTGAGTGTATTGTAAGCGCAGGGCGAAAATTCAAATACAAAAGAGAAATATAATATCAATAAATTAAATATGAAATATTTTTCAACATATTTATTATTGAAATTAAAATAAAAAACAAATCATTACCATTTACGCGATATTTTCGATAAAGATAATGATACAAATACAAAAACGCAAACATGTTGACGACAATTGGCGAAATAACAATATTGTTGTTTCAATTGTTCTTATTGTTGCTGTTGTTTTTGTTGCTGTTGCTGCTGCTGCTGATATTGTAGTTGTTGTTGCTGCTGTTGTTGACAATTGGCCGATTGGGAACGCGTGCTTGGCATGCACTGTGGGCTAATTAGCCGATAAGTGGCAGCGAACAGTCATCGAAAGTTCGACCGATCGATGGATCGATCGACGCGTCGATTAGTTGTTGGGGGGCGGGGGAGGGCGAGGAAATAAAACGTTGAGGCATATTTACAAACATCATTAACTAAATGTTATTATGTTAATTGAATTTGTTAATTCGGTTTTTGGCATCTTTACATTCACATTAATTTCGCATTTCACTTTTTCTTTCTCATACATAGTCATCAAAGTACAATATTATATATATGTAAGTATAAGTAGATATATAGTATATATATATATGTGTTTGTTCATATTTACATTAGGAGCTACACGAACTTAAGCTACGATATATACAAACATACGCACATACATATTTACATATTCGCCTTAAATTAAATGTTAATTAAAAATTAATTTGTTTATTTTATTTTGTTTTCTGCGCCATTTGAAGTCAATTCGAATTCAACGCAACTCGAAAATAAAAGAATTAAGAACGAATGAATGAAACAAAAACGAAATCGTTGTTATGTTTTATAAAACAACATAAATAACAAAGCAAACGAAAATGTTTGTGTTGCCTGCTCAGAAATTTTCCATTGAATGTGGAACGGAAGTAAAAGCATTTGAATATTCCTTTTATTATTTTATTTAATTACCAATCGCATGTCAGCAATTTTAATTGCGATCGTGTGGCCGTTTTGGAAACCAGTGTTGCGAGGATGGAACTAATGAGCGAAAACTTATCCAAATTCATCCCAAAATGGAGACATTGCCATCATCTACACCCATAAGGGGATGACGGAATGCTAGGAGATGTGTGGAAAATTTCATAGTGTTTTCTAATAACATTTTGACACTGGCAGTCCATGGCAATATTTCTCGGATTCTTTACGGAGCAGGCGTTACGAAATTAAAAGCAAATATATGTACTATACATTTAAGTCAAGTTGGGCGAGATTTCGTTAGTTTAATGCCTTCTGTTTCAAATCTCCCAAATTTGTGAATTCGATTTCGAAATGCCTGTCGCAAAGCATTCAAGTGTACAGTCCCGTTTCGAATTCAGTTGTGGAACAGGGAACAGGTCTGATATAGATTTCTCATTACGAATACTAAAATGTTTTAATTTTCCAAGCCCATAATTGGGCAGTAAACAATTGATAAACTAAATGGGGTTCTCCAGCTCTATTTGCAATATCTTAGAGCGAAAAGACAAAAAAAAAAGGAAGAGAAATTGAAGCTTCTTGGCTTGGTAGAAAACATTTTTCAAATGTAGAAAATATAATTGCATTTACATGACTTTTAACGGAGATCTACTTGTATGTATTTAGTTGTATACCAAATAGCAATCGAAATGTTTTTGTAGAAGTATTGGAATCTCCCAAAAATGGGGTTCCATTAACACTTTAGTTGCAACATTTCAAAAATTTCAGTAAAGCATTATTTTATATTTTATGCGACAGTGTTGGGGGCATTTCCTTAGGAGGTGCGAGTTAAAATTGCATGTCAAACCCTTTAAAGGAATCTCCGGATGCCAAGAGCATATCATTATTTTTTTGAACTATAAAAAACGCACAAGTGTGGTGAGTGATGATAAAAAATGCATTCAGGCATTAGGGACTAAAAATGTTAGAGATTGAAAAATGTAGCAGGCATCACCTTCATCGATCGAATCACGAATTTGGAGAGTAAAGTACACACTCATACATATGTACAATATACTTGTATGTATGTGTGTGTATCTACATAGAGCTATGCATAAACATGGCGCGATAGTTAGATCAATAGACAGATAGTTGTAGATTTATGTAAATACAAGTGCGTGTGAGCATCAAATGTTAATGATAAAGTGTTGATATTATTGGTGTGTTTCTGATGTTGATGTTGCTGTCGCTCTTGATTGATGTTGATGTTGAGGCGGCTGCTGTGTGATTGATTGATTGATGTGGCATGTAGCATGTGGCACGGCAACATGAATTTATAGTTTAAAGCGCATGGCTTGCTTCATCATCTGCTCCTTCAGCTTTTTCTGTTGTACATACATACATATGTATATGTATGTATGTATCTATATATGTATGTATGTATGTATATGTCTGCATGTACATATAGCGCGCGTGCCATTATTTGTGTAGGTAGTGTTGTTGTTGCTATTACTGTTGGCTGGGAGAGGTGTTTGTGAAGGCTGTGATGTAGGCGGTGTGTTGCTATTTTTTTTCTCAATTTTTTTTTATTTTTTTATCAGTTGGAGTTGAGCGGGCAGGCTGTTGGGCGGGTGGTCTGGCGAGCTGGCGGCAGCATATCCAAAATATTTGTAAAAGTGTACCGTCTTTTTGTTTTTCATTTGTTTTTCAAATTGTTGCTTAGTGGAAAGCACGCACAGGAAATTCAGGACGTGCGTCCGATAATAGAGTACACGTAGTATATATGCATGTACTACTTGTATATATGGTATGTATGTATGTAGGTATATTATGGATAATTTGATTATTTTTTTCTATGGGCGCTGCTCTCGTCAATGTCGGTGTCAGCGAATACGCCACCTGGCGGCGACGGCTGGGGCAGCGGCGGCAACGGCGTTGAATTCGGTGGTGGCAGAAACGGCGGCGGTTTAGTTTTGTACGTGCGACCAAGTAAAGGAACATGCTCTTCTAAAATTAGATTATAACGGAAAACGTAACGTAACAGAACAAAGCAAAAACGACGGAATGCAAAAACAAAACTTAGATATACTTGTATGTATGTATAGTACTTAGAGTAGAAAATGCAAAAACGGTTTGCATGCAAGAAGCGCCCAAAGCCACAGTTAATAATCATATCATATACTAGTATATATGTATGTATGTATATGCATGTGTGTGTGTGTGTGTGTATATAGTAGTAGTAGTGTTTTCGAGAAGCATGGATGAGCATTGGAGCATATGGAAAGCAGGAGTGCTACGTATATACATATGTATGTATAGATGCACGAATTAATGAGTGCGGCGGGATAATTGCACAGGAGCTCAGCTTACAGGGAAATAGAAAAACAACTCACACACACACACACACACACACACACACACACACACAAACACACACACATATGTACATATAGATAGTTAGAGGGATAGAGTTTTGGGAGAGACAGATAGTTTGAGTTAGAGAGAGAGAGAGAGAGAGAGAGAGAGCATGGAGTGAATGGTGTTCGATTCGAGTTTATAATTATACACATATTGAGGGTTTCATAGAGCGTCGGACTTGCGAGCATTGGGGTAGAAGTGGTGATGGCGGTGGTAATGGCGGGGTGGAGGGGGGCAATGACATTAAAATCGTTCGGACATACGCAGAACACTTACCCTGCAGCTGTCGATTGATCAACGCGGTCAGTCCATGGCCCACATCCACACTCTTCTTCAGTATGAGCATGGGCTTATCCTCGGCATCCTCCGCATAGCCGCCCGAGGGTAGAAAGCCATTGCTGGCAATCGATTCGCTCACCTGTTGTCCACAAAAAGAAATCAAATCAAAGAGAAAGGAAGTAGTTATGGCAATTGGATTGGCAAATGGCAAAGTTGGCGAGAGTTGTGGGGAGTTGCGGCACACAGACCTGTGTCACCTGCATCAGTTTCTTGACCACATCACGCCCCAGTATGTGATCGAATACGGTTTGTAAGAACGGCTCAGCCATAATTGACAGTTTAAGTTTGTCCCGATGCCAGATGAGAACGCGTGATTCCTCCATAGCCATAATGGACACCTATCGAGCGACAGAATGAATATCAACATAGATAGAGGGGAGATGACTCCAAATATATGCCACTCACCTGAAAGTAGTCGTCGGTCGAGACGCCAAACCATTCGGGCGAGTCTAGGAACTGGTGCGGAAATACAATATGCAGTGCACGCTGATGCTGTGAGACGACCAATCTAGAGAAATCAACAGCTATAGAGCTGGACACGAAACGCCAATAATCATCATCATCATCATCTCATACTCACTTGCCACTTAGCACCAGCGATAGGCTGTCCACCTTGGTTACTTTTTCCTGTGCATAGACCTCCTGGTATTTGAGCGCCCGTATTATTTTCATGCAGTTGAGCACCTTTTTGAACTGTTGACGGGTCACGTGCAATGGCTTGAAGAGCGCTACGTAAACCTGATTCGGGTGAAAAACAACAACAAAATCCATCAATTTACGGGCTAGCTAACTCAAAAGCATTCTATCTTACAACAGAAAGTATCTAAAGAAGAATCGTACTGCTCTCGCGACAATATAATTTATATTAAATCATTTTTTAAAGACATACTACATACAAGTATATGTCCACATGTAGTTGCAGTTTAATTTTCTCAAGCACTATTTGTTGACAAACTAAGTATTTCAAAATGTTTTTATCGCTCTTCAACTCGAGCAGATGGAGGCCCAACCATAAGCCTTTTCTAGCGAAATTGATTACTTCTTAATATTTTGTGGCTTAAATACAAAGTTTTTGTGCCCACAATTGTTTGATTTTAAGCCAAATTCTTGACCACCTCGTAAGCTCAAACACAATCTAAAAGCATTGTCGCTAGAGTCACAAAACTTAGTAGAGATTCCATTATTTCTTTCTAATTCTTTTTCATAATTAAACTACATTCAACTGTAAGTTCTAGGATATCATTATACTAAGTTTTTACGGATTTTTAGACATAATATGCATTAGCATGGTCAAAGGACATATCCTTTAATTGTTTATGAGATAAAAGATTTCAGGAATATCGGATTTTGGACGATCAAGAATCAGGCGGCTATTGGAAGTGATTGATAGATAAAATGCTTCCTTTTCTCAAAAATCAGTGGTCGAATAGCAGTTGGTGCTTGGTAATCTACGTAACAATGGAAGCACACACTTTTCGCAGACCCAATTGTTCGGTTTCATATATAACTCGTTGACTTTGCCACGAGATAAACTTTGAAACAGTTTAAGACATATGTATGTAACTTTATACTTCGATCAACAAATTAGAACCGTTCACATAACACGGGCTGTACTGAAAAACAAAAAACTAACTTAGGGGAATACTTATGAATACCAAGTGTGCTGATTCTTGCTTTTATGCTTTCAGAGATTCTAGCGTTCATACAGGCAGACATGGCTGTATCGACTCGTTTCATCATGCTGACCAAGGATACATATATATACATACATATATGTGTTATAAATTTATGCAATATATTGATGTTAAGTCAGCTTACTTGTAAGTGTCGCTCAATCCATCACGCGTTTATCAAGCTTCTAGCAGTTGTAAGTATGCGAGAATTATTGAGAATTAGAAAAATCTGTTCTATATATACTTGTAAGTAGTAGTATGCACTTCATTTTAAAACGGGGGTTACCGGCGGCCAATCTCGCTTATCGCAAAGTAAAAAACAAAACATTTCCACAAAAAATTCCGGCATGTCTCATTAATTGTAAACGAAGCTAATAAGCTGTTGCCAGGCCATTGCAAGCCTCAATTGGGTGCTAAGATGCGAAATTCAAGTACATACATACATACAAGTATGTTAAGTAATTGAAGCATGTAAGCAAATATTTTGTTGCTGCCTTTAAGCTGTGAACTGAAAACACGAATCGGTCTGTCCGTCGGTCGGTCGGTCGGTCGGCCACATGCCATGCTAATCGACTATTTCAACAAACAGGCCGATTTTCGCATTTGATTTTCAATATACAAGTATATTGGCAATAGGTATGGCAAGGTGGCCCGCAAATCATGTGGGTGTGAGTAAGAGTTGAGCACACGTTTTGAGGCAGGCCTCCAAAGGGGGCCAACAGTCATAGTCATAGTTATAGCCAAAGCCAAAGCCACATTCACAGTCGCAGTCACATGGCCAAAAGACACAAGAAAACGGAAATTTCTGTTACTTACTCGTTTGCTTGGCCATCCACGATCAGCACTGTTGGTTGCCATGCAAGACTGTGGAATCAGATTGCTGACGCAGCCGTTGAACGTTGGCCACTGGGGCTGGCTGCCCGGTGCGGCGCAGCGAGGAGAGGGGTGGGGAAGAGGAGGGGACGATCATGTTGCGCGCCCGCTACATGAAACGACTGCGAATATTATGTTGTTTTTGCTTTTGCGAACAGCAAATCGGCAACAACATAAATAAATAAAAAATAATCTAAAGTTAAGCGACTGCAGACAAATTGTAATCCGCCGCACACATCGGTGGCGGTATTTAAGCGGGCGGGACGGCGCGAGAGGTGCTTGTTAGTTATGTGGCATGCGGCGTCGGTGGAGAGGTGGAGGAGCCATGGCTGGCGATTTGCAACCAGCCAGCGCCAATGGACAGCGTCGGCGGACATCGGCACAGATGCCCAAGTCACGTACGCCACGACGATCCGATGGCAGTCCAAGCGCCCGACTCGACTCAAATGGCGCTCTCAAAGAGCGCAACAACACCAACAACAACGACAACAACTCTGGACAAGAGCGACCGAGTAATGGACTGAACCGGAACGGAACAGGCAAAACTAAAGCGTTCATTTGTAGGTTTTAGTGCGTCCATAAAGAGCATCATCGTTTCCAAGTGTGTGGTGTGTGTGTGTGTGTGTGTGTGCGTATCCAACGAGATTAGCGCATACTGATGAAGATGAACCGTTGCCGTTACCACACACACACACACACACACACAAAGAGCGATAGTGAGAGGCAAAGAGAGAAAAAGGGGCCAGGCGAAGCGGTCAGGCACAGTGGAATGCTGGGAGACTGGGAAATTGCGGCTGAACCGGCCGGCAGAAATAAAGCAAATCATTTAAGTCGAGCAATTTGCAATTTAAATCAATGAAAGCAAACGAAAAATTCCAAAAAAAAAGAAGAAAAACAACAAAAAACGTCACTTGTATCCAAAGCCTTAATCTAAACAAACACACAGTTACAATTACAGATCAGTGAGAACTGTTTGCTTCTCTCCATAAATAGGCTACCATTACGAATCACACCAAATAGGTTGAACTAAACGATTAACTCTCCACCTCACCACACTTTCGTTTTCATCGATCTCCAGCAAACTATCATACATAAGTATAGTACATAATTAATATATTATTAATTAAACTATTAATGGATCCTTCTTTTCAGTGATTTAACAAAGATGCCCAATATTTCGATATCATTTTAATCTCACAGCTATTGATATAGTTCAAGCTATATGCATAGCATTTTTTATATATGTATTTCTAGTACCTAAAGCCTTACCTACATACTTTTTATTTATTAGAATAATTTAACTAAAAAAAATACATCTAAAGTTTGTCTTTGGAAAACAAAGAGTACGGCTGTCAAATCAATAAGAAATTGATTTTATCAATGATTAAAGTTTTCTGCTAGTTTAAGAGAAATGAGAAACCGCATCAATGCTGTTATTTGTTAACATTTCTTCTCACTATTCACATACATATGTATCTGGCAGGTAAGATAAGTTCCACATTTGCTTTTAATGCTGATGCTAGCTGACTCGTCTACAATTTTAATCCGGCAAAGAGTTGAGGTATCATTAAAGTTAACTGATCGTTGCTCGGCTATTCCATAGAAGGCAAATAATAGCGACTTTGGAGTCTATTGAACCTTTGACTGTTGCTGCCGCCTTATCAGCTACAGTCACAATTGCAGTTGCCGTTAAAATACAATGAAGAGAATAAGCGCAATTGCGATTTCGATCTCAAGAGAGCGAATTTGCTGTGCTCTCTTTTGGACTGCGATTAAAATAGCAGCAGGCGGCAACAGCAAAAACCGCAATAACTGTGAAGCATTCTGATAATCACATTAAAACATTGCCACGAGCACACGTCCCGCTAGCTGTTCCGCCGTCCAACTTCTGTCCGTAGCCCCTTGCTTGCACTTCCGCTCTTCACTCTAGAGAGACCGTTTACACGCCTTTCCGCAGGTTAACGAATATTGTTATAGGCTTACTTAGCTCTGTTGTTAACTGCAATTGGAGTAAACAAGTTGGCTACAATCAGCTGTTTACCAGGCCCTACCGATAAGCGACAACAACAGTGCCCGCCAGTTGTTGACCGCCTTTGTTATCAGTGCCATATTAAAATAAAAATGGCCGATTTACGGCTAAATCAAAATATGTCTATCTGAACACCCTACATTGGCTTTGCTCAAGGCCAAGATCACGTTGGCCACTTGATCCCTGCCCACTTGTTGCGTCTGCTGCGCCATATCACCCATCGTCATACCCTTCTTAATAGGGTATTACCGGCTTTTCTATGCACAAAAAAATACTTTCTTTGGTACAATCAAAATATGAGGGAGGGTCCTCATTATCATAACCATCCAAAAGCTGAAACAAACTAGAAAATATCATATAATTATTATGTGAGCCAAAATATTTTAGTGTAGTTCGATCACTCACTTTTTAATTAAATGGAGCAACAGATCCAAATAGTTAAAATATAGCTCATAAAATACCAAAAACAACTCCCGAAGATAAGTACACTTTAGAAATTCAAAATAAATAAATAAAGCATATTCTTTTTAAATATTAATTTCAGATCTATCAAGTTTTATGATAACTTTGACATTTTTTGTAATCATGTTGGTCATGATGGTTGCGGCGTGATTCGAACCAAGTACCTACTCAAGGAACAAAATCACATTTCTTTTGAAAGCTGATAATACAGCTCTATGATATTTGATTCTTTATTCTTAATTCGGCTATTGTGTTGTATTCATTCCCCCACTAAATATATAGATCACTAAAATATTTTCAGTTTTCTACTCAAAAGTGTAGTTTGCCTAAAGAAGTTTTCAATATCAGCATTTATCCTGCACAGTCGACATCTGAATCAATCAGACAGAGCTCATTTTATGATATGATATCGGCATTCCTAGCATAAGAGACGGGGCAAAGTTTTTCTATAAATACAATAGGACTTGTGTAAGGTATTACCCGAATAACTGATCACAATTTTATACCAAATTTGGCGATAAGTGTTCGCCCTCAAATCGAAGCAGTCGTGTGGCTTCCGATCGATCGAGCAATCGTGCTCTGATAAAGTCAGCGCGCGAATCATTTTATTTCGTGCTAATCAAATAATGTCGGCAAATAATTTGAACAAATTTTCCATGTGATTCGCATGATACATATGTATGTATACACACATACATACA